GTTTCCCAGGGCCTCCACTGAGCCCACTTTCAGGGATGGGGAATTTGCTACCTCCATGGCAGCCTCGTGCACATGGATGAGCTGGTCCTCACGTCCCAAAGCCAGAGCAGAGGGAAAGCCTCTCATCTGGATGAGTTATCCAAGGCTGTCCCCTGCCGTGCTCACCCCTGAAGAGCCTGGGGACTCCCCACCCTCTCGCACTGGCGTCTGGCCCAGAGGGTTATTCATTAGGTGGCTGGGAGCGGCCGGACCCCATCAGACACCTGTTGCAGGAGCCCGGACTTCCCCCTTCGCCCCAGCGTCCCGGGGGCCTGTAAATCATTCACCCCGGGCCCTCCCCGCCCCACCGCTCTCACACACGCCCTGCCCCCTCCCTCCTGGGCTCCCGTTGGCACAGGTGCTCACAGGAGGGGGAAGGGAGGGCAGTCGGGGCGTCGGGAGTTCTGGCCCAGAGCTGGGACGGGAGCCCAGGGCTCCCGACTGTCATTAAAAATACACATTCACATCTGCACGTGGTAAAAATTTAAACTTCCTGGAGACTCCTACCCGCTGCCCCTCAGCCTCCAGTTCCCTGTCCAGAGGCAGCCCCTGTTATCGGCTCCTTGTATATTCTTTCAGAAAGAACTCTATGGTGCACAAACATGTATGAGTGTGAGTGTGTTTATATCCGCCCCCCCGTTTATATACAAAAATAGCAACATACATTCTATTCACAGCAGTCTATGTCTTGCTTGTTTTTTTACTTAACAATGTATCTTAAAAATTGCTCCGTATTGGTGCATGTGAAGCTTTACAGTTTCTTTTTCTTTTTTTTTGAGGAAGATTAGCCCTGAGCTAACTACTGCCAGTCCTCCTCTTTTTTGCTGGGGAAGCCTGGCCCTGAGCTAACATCCGTGCCCATCTTCCTCTGCTTTATATGTGGAACACCTACCACAGCATGGCTTGCCAAGCGCTGCCATGTCTGCACCTGGGATTCGAACCGGTGAACCCCGGGCCGCCAAGAAGCAAACTTGACCACTGCGCCACCGGGCCAGCCCCTATGGCTTCTTTTTAATGACGGTGTAATGCTTCCTACATGGATTACCATCTCTTATTTAACCAGGTCCCCACCTGTAGGCATGTACCTTGTTTTCAGTCTTGTGTTGTGTGAAACAGCTACAGCTTTGGCATTTATCTCTGAGATCAGTTCCTGGAAGTGGGATTAACTGGTCCAAGGGGATGTGCATGTGAAGTGCGTCTAGATGTCACCAAGTTTGGCTGCAAGGAGGATGTGCCAGTTATCACTCCCCGGACAGCAGATGGGATTCCCTGGTTCCTGGACCGCACGGCGTGATCTCACACGCCTTGTTCCTCGGCAGAGACATTTTCTTAGCAGTGAAATTGTGTGCTTTGAGTAGCTCCACAGATAGAAGTTGGCCTGTGGGTTCCACCCACCCGGAGAGGGGGTGACAGGGCCTGTGGGCTGGGTCTTCATTACAGCCTTGCTAATATGCAGCCACAGCGCTATCTCCCATCTAGTCTCTCCCTCCGCCTCCCACCCCCCAGCCCCTGGGAACAGCCAGGCTGCAGGTGGAGACACCCGAGGCCAGGTTCACACCACTACTAAGCAGGATGGCCCTCAGCAAGGGCCCTTCCTGAGCCTCCACTTCCCCATTATGAAACGGGCCTGATGGATCCCCGCCTGCTCACCAGAAAGGATGGGAGTGAGACCCGGCTGCCTGAGGGGAAGGGGGTCTTCCAATCACTGCTTGTAATATCGTAGACTGAGGCGGAGGCAGGCAGCGAGCCTCAGGCCCTGACCTCAGGCTATGAGTCTTCTGGGCATTTTCTTTCTTTCTTTCTTTTTTTTAAAGTTGGCCCTGAGCTAACATCTGTTGCCAGTCTTCCTCTTTTTTTTTTTCTCTCCAAAGCCCCCAAGTTCATAGTTGTATATTTTAGTTGTCAGTGCCTCTGGTTGTGGCATGTGGGATGCTGCCTCAGCATGGCCTGACGAGCGGTGCCATGTCTGCACCCAGGATCCAAACCAGCACAACCCTGTGCTGATGAAGCAGAGTGCACGAACTTAACCACTCAGCCACCGGGCCGGGCCCTTCTGGGCATTTTCAAGGGCCCCGAGCCTACGGAGCTCTCAGGGGTCTGCCCTCACCATGGTCTGGCCCCTCCCTTCCCAGAAGTACAAGTAGATGGGTGGTCTCCTGTTTGCGCTTCTGCTGCCAACACTTAGGGGGCTCCATGGTGGGCTCCATGGACCCCAAACCTGACGGGGTGAGGAGCTGTGCACGAGAGCAGGGAGCGAGAGCTCTAGAGCAGGTGACAGGGCCTTGGGCAAGTCCATCTTGCCTGGTGCTTCAGTAACCCTGACAATACAGGGAGTCTGGACCAGAAAGACTCGCAAGGCCTCTCTTGTCTGGACCTCCAGCAGCTGTGTAACCACTCTGAACCTCAGTCTCTTCATCTATAAAATGGGAAGAGACTAAACTTCCTTGACTCCTTCTGGCTTAAGCCCAGCAAACCCAGTAGGGCTGTGGATTCAGAGCTCTGCTGGCTCTGGTAGTGTTTTTGAATTTTCTAGGCCAAGGAGGGACGCCATCTGGAGCCAAGGCCTCAGCAACCACTCCCTTGTCCCTTTCCTGGGCCAGGCCTGGCTGAGGACTGAGGTTGTCCCGTGCTGCGTGGGGCAGCAGGCTGAGGTCAGCGGCTGTGGAAGCGTCCAGTGCGGTTCTGCCGCTCTGGCAGGAAACCCGAGGAAAGGAGCCCAGGAACGTCTGTTGTCTCCTGTTCTCCACACAGCCATTTGGCTCCTGGGGAGCCGGGTGGCTGTCCTGCCAAGCTGCGTGGGCTTGGTGGAGGGAGCGGGGCTGGAACAGGATAGGGGGGTGGGTAGCGCAGGGCCCGAGCTGCAGCCCAGGGAGGTGAAGGCCAGCGATCGAGGGGGACACTCGGGTGAAGTGGGAGGGGCCGATGGTCACTCGGAGACCCGCCGTGCCCCCATGGGATGCGTGTGTGGGTCCCAAAGTGCTTGCGTGTGCCTCCTATTTATAGCTTCGTGCTCAGCTTCTTACGAAAGGAAACTGCTGTTTAGTCAGGCCCCCACACTAGCCCAGGCCAAGCATGACTCTTAATACTCTCTCCAGACAGCCCTGTGATCCTGGTCCCCAAAAGAGCGCTGACATTAACCCCAGAAGATCCTCTCGTCCAGTTCCTGGCCCCAGGCTGAGCCCTGTGCAGAAGCCAAGCCCCTGCCTTCTCTCTCCTGGGTTACTGCAGGTCTCTGCGCTTCCCCCGTCCTCCCGCCAATCTGTTCTCCATGCAGCAGCCAGAGTAATATTAAAACCTACGTCAGACCTCCTGTCTCCTCTGCTCAGGCTCCCATCCCGGACTGTGAACCCACAGTCCTTTCCATGGCTTGTAAGGCCCTGTACAACCTGCCCCCTCCCCTGGCTCACTGGGCCCTAGCTGTCCCAGCCTCCTCACTGCTCCTCACCCACATCAGACCTCAGGCATGCTCCTGCCTCAGGGCCTTTGCACATGCTGTTCCTCTTCTCTGGAGCCCCCTCCCCAGATATCTGCATGGCTCTCCCCTCACCTCCTTTAGATCTTTGTTTAAATTCCCCTTCTCAGTAAGGCCTTCATAGACCACTCTATTTAAAATCGCAGCCCCTCTCCTCCCTAAATTCCCCATCCTCCTTCCCTGCCTTCTTTTCTCTGAAATACTTATCATCAATTAACATATCAAATACTTTCCATATTTACTTTATTTTCGCCTATCTCCCTCCACTAGAACCCAAGCCTCACGAGGACACGGAGTTTTTGTTTGGCTCACTGCTGTGCCCTAGCGCTTGGCTCACGGCAGGGGCAGAGGAAACATCTGTGGCCCAGCCCAGTCGCTGCGGCTCTGTGCCTCGGTTCAGGCGAGAGTGTGGGCGACTCCGGGCAGCCCAGCCCCAGCCCCTGGCGCAGCCCCAGCTCAGGGCTTGGTGTCCAGGGCCAGGGCCTTGTGCGTACTGGCAGGTTCTAGGGGGCCGCCCGTGGTCTTGGTGCTTTTTGTCTGACTTTGGGGCCGGCAGCTGCCAGACATTCGACAAGAATTGAGGAGCATACCCCCCAGGACAGATCCGGCAAGCTCCCTGCGTCCGCCTCTGCCTGTGGTGGCTCTTCCTGCTCTCTTCTCATGCCTCATGCCTCTCAAGCTACCCTTGCCCGCCAGGTTCCCTCCCTCTCTCTGCTGTTCATCCCTGTGGTCTGAGGATCCCTGAATTAGAACCATCTGGGAGCTAGCTGAAAATGCAGATTCTAGGGGCCGGCCCATGGCCAAGTGGTTAAAGTTATGCATGGTCCGCTTTGGCAGCCCGGGTTCGTAGGTTCGACTCTTGGGCCTGGTCCTATCGAGAGCCATGCTGTGGCAGTGACCCATATACAAATTAGAGGAATATGGTCACAGATGTTTGCTCAGGGCTAATCTTCCTCAAGCAAAAAAAGAGGAGGCTTGCCAAGGGATGTTTGCTCAGGGCAAATCTTCCTCACCAAAAAAAAAAAAAAAAAAGCAGATTCCACCCCCACGCTTTCTGATTCACACTGTCAGGGATGCCCTAGAAGCTGTGTTTTTCACAAGCTCCCCAAGTGTCTGTTGTGCAGCCACGTCCTGGAGCTGCTGGGTTAGAGTTGCTGGAGCTGGCGATCAGAGTAGGTCAGAACTTCTGGATTGAAACTCCCAACTCCATCAGCAGTTTGCTGTGTAACCCTGAGCAAGTTGCTTCCCCTCTCTGAGCCCCAGCACCTCCCCAAATGAGCATGAGAGCATTATTTGCCTCCTAAGCTGGGAGTCTCCGAGCCTGAGCCTGGGGGAATGATTGTCACCCTGGGGCTGGAGTGTACGTCCCTCCCAACTCAGGGTCCTCCTTCAGGGGCCTGGATTGCTCTTCCTCCCCGGGGCCCCTCCTGGGCCTTTTGCAAGGTCCCCGTCCCCATTCATCTCCCCTCTTGGCCCCTCTACTTCTCAGGTAAGACCCGGACCAAGGACAAGTACCGCGTGGTCTACACTGACCACCAGCGCCTGGAGCTGGAGAAGGAGTTTCACTACAGCCGCTACATCACCATCCGGCGGAAATCAGAGCTGGCGGCCAATCTGGGGCTCACTGAACGGCAGGTGTGTGGGCCCCTGACCTCAGCCACAGGAGCAGTGCTGGGATCCTGGCCTCTAGGCTGCCAGGCAGATTACAGAGCTCAGTTGAGGGAGTAGAACAGAGAGGTTGAGTCTCCTGGCCTTGGTCACACAGCACAGCAGAAACTGAGCTGCTGCCAAATCTCCCCCCACAACAAAACCCATTATCCCTGACCCTCACTGGGGGATAGGGAGATTTGATTGGCTATGGGCTACAGTAGGGCACGGTCAGTGCTGTGAGAGGTCTGAGTGCTATTTAATCCAGAGAAGGGAGCAATCTCCAGAGGAGGGAGAATAGGGAAGGCTTCCTGGAGGAAGGGTGTTAGAGCCTGGCCTCGGAAGATGGAGAAGAAGGTTGTAGAGAAAATTGTCGTGAGGGTAGGGGCGCAAGTTCCAGAGCAGGGGAATGTATCCAGGGCCCGTGACTGGTCTCGGTGGCCGGAGCAGGAGGGAGGCCACAAACGCCATATCGAGAAACGGGCTCCACTGTCCTCCCTCCCTTCATCTCGCTCTGTGTCATGTGGTCTCCTCATCTCCGTTCTCCGATCCCACAGGTGAAGATCTGGTTCCAAAACCGGCGGGCAAAGGAGCGCAAAGTGAACAAGAAGAAGCAGCAGCAGGAGCAGCAGCCCCCACCGCCCCCACCGCCAGCCCCCGAAGTCACCCCTGCCCCAGCTGGGCCGCCCCTGGGGACCCTGTGCCCCAGCTCTGCCGGCCTCCTGGGCGCCTCCTCCCCGATGCCCGTGAAGGAGGAGTACCTGCCGTAGCCCCAGCCTACCCCTGGGCAGGGACTCAGGTGCTGGGAATGTGGCTCCTGTGGGGGCCCAGGAGGCCTGCGCTGATTCCCGGCCCTGCCACTGACCTTCTGGGTCACCTCGGCCCAGTCACGCACCCAGCCCCTGCATCCCCGTGGCCCATCTAAGCAGCGAGCCTGTTGGATAAGGACCTTTGCCAGCTCCTGTGTTCTGGGCCTCAGGGGGATGAGGGAGCCCAGAGGGGAGGTTGCAGTCCTCAGAGGGCTGGGTGAGGGGGCCCCACCTCCTCCTCTGTGGGTTCAAGGGTGGGAGCCCACTGTAGGGACCAGACTGACCCTGGAGAAAGGAGACGGAGCTGAGCGAAGATGGAATGCCTGCAGACCGTGACCTGAGGGGGAGGAAAGCGGTCAGCTTCCACCTGCCTCTTCCTGAAGGCTCGCCTCTCGCTGCCCCATCACAGCACGCCCTGGACCCTCTCCAGGCTGGACGCAGAGCACAAAGCCCACCCGATGGGCCTGAGGGAGGGGCTCTGACGACTGGCCCCTCTGGGCTGCAGCCATCTCCCCTCACTGTCTTCTCAGCGGGGCTTCCAGATTGGGGGGAGGTCCCGGGAGGGGGAGCGAGGGGTGGCGTCCACCCTGCTGAATTTCTGCCACCCCAGCAGGTGTCCCTCAGGGCCCGGGGAGCCCCGGAGGACTTTCTCAGGACCAAGCAGAGCTCACAGCGGGCCAGTGTTGTACATAAAGTGGGATCTGTTGGATGCAGCTTTGAGAATAAATTTTTTTTCTCTTTTTAAAAATGTATAAAAATGATTGTATGTAGCATTAGTGAAAAACGTTGAAGCATAAATCAGCTCACCTGTCCCTCGCTCATGGTCCCATCCATCTCTGTAGGCCTGCAACGAGGTCACCTTTAAAATGCATTTGAAAGATCAAAACAGGACATCGTTAGAGTGAGTCTATGAGGCTGCAAAATCGCAAATCCATTTTGTAAGCAGAATCATCAGACTCAATATATCAGGCTTTTGAATTTTTTGAACACTTTCAGCTCAAGTTTTTCTTTTTTTTCCATTTTATTTACTTATTTATTTCTTTATTTATTTATTGAGGAAGACTGGCCCTGAGCTAACATCTGTGCCCGTCTTCCTCTACTTTATATGTGGGACGCCTGCCTCAGCATGGCTTGCCAAGCGGTGCCATGTCCGCACCCGGGATCCAAACCGGTGAACCCCGGGCCGCCAAAGCAGAACGCACGCACTTAAGCGCTGCGCCACCGGGCTGACCCCTCAAGTTTTTCTTTTAACAGGTGACATTCGTTGGGCACCCCCATGCGCTAGGCATGGCCGGGCCTAGGGAATGCACAGTCCTTGTCCCCCAAAAGTTCTCAGTCTGAGCTGTGCTCTGGGCATCGGGGAAAGACAGCATCCCAGGAGTCCAGAGCGGGCTCCCAGCTGATCTCGGAGGGTCCCGAAGGCTTCCTGGAGGAGGTGATGTTTGAACTGAGGCCTAAAGAACTAGTAGGTGCTGTCATGCCAATAAGGGAGGAATGGTAAAAAAGAAGATGAACAATAGGAACTTAAAGTAGGATTTTTTTAAACTCCTGAGAAAAGTTGCTGTTCTCAACTGCCTTCCAGAGGTGGGCAGGCATCTGCTACCTGGGGCCTTCTCTCCCTAGAGGACTCCGGTGCCAGCTGCCTGCCCCTCTGTTTACTGTTCTGGGAGGTGGCCCAGCCATAAAAAGTGTGCACAGCCCGCCTGTCTGCCCTTTGCTCCTGGGGCACATGACAGCAATGCCCGAGGTGGATCCGGTCCCCACACAAGCCCCTGAGGGCACCTCTCTCTCTCCTCCTACTGGTGGCCTGGGAGGCACCCTGGCTTCACCGAGGACACTGGACATCTAAGGCATGGGAACCAGATGGTACCAGGGGAAAGGACTAAGCTTCCAGGAGCAGAGGAAGTGGGTTGGTGGAAGGGTGGCCAGCAGAGAGTGAATATTCTGATCTTCAAAGACATTTGCTGTGTGACCCTGGGGTAACTGCATCCCCTCTCTGAGCCTCGTTTTCCCATCTGTAAAACTGGGCAGTTCATTTACCAAAAAGAAACTGCTCTGGGCAAGTAAGTTTGGGAAATCCTGCAGACTCCCCTTCAGGGAGTCACAGTGGTGCGTTAGCACATCAAAGCCTCTGACAAGTGTCACAGCAAAGAAACCCCTTGAGTTTCCTTTAATCCAGCATTCCCCATGCTTTGCTACCCAGGCGCCCCCTGCCAGCACTTACCAGCGCCCCACTGAACACCGCACAGTCTGGAGTGTGGGGATGCTGTGGGCTGGAGGGCCACGCTTCAGCTGTGACACAAGTTCGGCAGCAGATCTTGTTGTCAGATGCCCTGAGCTCCAGCCTGACGACTTCCAAGCTGTGAGACTTCGGGCAAGTTACTTAGCTTCTCTGAGCCTCTCCTCCTCATTTGTCAAGTGGAAATAAAGTACTCTAACCTATCTTAGAATTGCGTTTAGCAGAGGGCCTGGCACATGGTAAGTACTGTGTTTCAGTCACCTGCTCATGGAGCTCTTGCATCCTAGTGTGAGGTGCTGGCAGACCTGACTGATGTTTTAACCACCCCACCCCCAATCCTGAGGACAGACGGAGACTGGGAGGATCTGAGGCAGGACAAGCCTGTCCCCAGCCACAGGAAGACCTCTGCCTGGCAGGAGGTCAGTGGCCAGGCCTGGCGGGCTGGGTGAGCTGCAGCTGCTGTCCACACGGGCGGTCAGGGGGTTGGGTGGGGCCCACAGGTTGCGTTGGCGATCACCTGTCAGTTGGCGTTTGAGCTCCATGAAATAGGAACTTTTTATCTAAGACAACTTCCAAACAGTGCCACGGGCTGCCTTGTGAAGGAGTGAGTTCCCTGTCACCCGGAGAGTTCCACCAGAGACTGGGGTGTTGTAATGGCTCAGGAAAGGGATCCCTGCACCCTCCCCAATGCTAGGAGGTGTTCCAGCTTTCCCACTGGGAATGGCGATGCTGCTTCTGCTTTGCATCCAGCAATTTTATGTTCCTCCTCTGCGTGGTGGCAGGCCCTGCGCTGATGCTGGAGACCGGGGCTCCAGACAAAAGTCAGACTGGACTGGCCCGGCCCCCAAAGGCCCATGGCCTGGTCATGGCCTCTAGCCAATCAGAAACATGCACATCAGCATTATGTTTGGCGTACAATTTCCCCAATAAACCCCTAACGCCGTGTTGAGAGCCTGTCTTGTGGAGGCACCGGTCCCATCATGACTGCTGAGAGATTGGGCGGGCCAAGCAGAGAGCACACAGCTCAGCTCCGGGGAAGGGCTCAGGCGCAGGGCTGGCAGTGGAGTGTTCTCATGGAGGAGGTCTCCAGCAGCCCGGGGTGTGTGTGTGTGTGTGTGTGTAATAGGTTATGCTGCGGGGACCGGAGGATTGTGGCGCTCCGGAAACCAGCCTGGCTCTGCGGGGATGAGATGCCCAGCCAGTGGGAGGCAGAAGCAGGCAGCACAGCAGGCGAGGAGAGGGTGGCCTGCAGGGCAGTCCTGCCCCAGCACGGCTGCTCTGGAATCACTGTCTCTGAATCACACCAGATGGACTAGTGGTCTGGACCCTCATTTTTCACAGTCGCCACTCGCCGGTGAAACAAAACACATGTTCTGCAGCGATCAAGTCTGAACGTTCAAGCGAATTAAAAATGTTTATTTATATGCATTTAAAAATATCTCCATATAACAAAAGGAAGTACATTTTCATCTAACACTTTCCTTAAATCAGCACACATCTCACGTCTGGTTTGATGTGAGACCTGGAGAAACAGACAGAGAGAGAGGCTGAGAGAGGAGGGGAAGGTGGAAAGGGAGACAGATTGACTGACATGGATGCCTAAGTAGTTATCTTGCTAAGTTGTACCCAACTTCCTCTGGGAGGGCGTTAGGGGACAGTGGTGGCAGCAATTGTCAAAGATGTTTGATAGCTGAACTCATGGCCAGTTGTATAATCATAAAACTAGGGCTTCAGTGGGTAGATCGACTAATGTGGACAATGTCTTCTAGAAGAGGTTGGGGTTTGGTTTGGTCTATGAAGTACAGACTATTCCGACAAGGGCCGTGGTGATGGGAGAGGGTGGCAGACAGCTGTGATCTGGAGGGCAGGGCCCGGGTGGGGTCAGACTCCTGGATTCCGGGACTGACCCTACCTCGGCTGCACAGGGTGATTTTGCAAGACCTGCCTCTCCTGAGCCTCAGTTTCCCCATCTGGAAGGCGTGGGCCTAGAACCCATTTGTACTGACAGCCCCAGTGACTGCCGCTGCTGTTCAGTGGTCATGCCCTGAGGCGTTTGCTTGAGGAAAGATAAAGTCTCAGCCCTGTTCCCTCCCCTACCCCAGGGCTGGCTCCCCCCAGGGCTGGATCTGGGGGAGCAGGTGCTGCTGGGAAGGGGCCATCAAGAGGCCAGTCTTCCAGGGCTCCTGGGCCAATGCCCACCCCGACTCCCCGTTCCTGTGGTTCTCTGTGCCTTCCATAGTGTCTGCGAACCCATGTGCCAACAGGAAGGGGTGGCTCAGCAAAGCTGTGCTGCCTGTCCTGTAAGAGATGTGGTGGCAGGCCCTGGGGCCGGGGACGGGGTCCTACCTGGGCCTCCTTGGGTTCAGGATCCGCTGGCTGTTGCCCTCCTGGCTTTGTCTGCAGAGTCCAGAGATTCAGTGCTCTGTGTGACCTTGGGCACGCAGCTTCACTCCTCTTAGACAGTGTCCTCAGGTGCAAAATGGGGACGCACAAACCTGTCTTCCCAGACTGTTGGGAAGAATTAAAAATTAGATATTGGATATGAGCTCATCTAATGCCCACAGTTGAGCTCAATGAACGCTCCTTCCTTCCACATTCATGGCCAAGGAGCTCCTTCCTCCTGGCTCTGGAGAGCCCCTGGCACGCCCTGTGAGGCCAGGCTTAAAGCAAGGAGCAGCTGGGTGGGCCCTGGAAGGAAGTGGTGGGTGGGACGCAGCCAGGCCCTTCATCCCAGCCTGTGCTTTGACTTAAACTCTTCCCACCTTCTTCCAGGCTCCTGGGGTGTGAGAGGCAGCACATTATCCACATCATCCTCGCTTTCCCCAAAGGCCTCCCCATGTTGGCTGATGGTCGGGCAGTCCTGTGATTTAGTGTCTGAACTGGGGCACTGTTGAGCGTGAAAGGGGCACGGTTTGTAATGTATATGTCGTGTCCACTAGCACGCACGCACGCACTGGCGCCCTCCCACAAACCAATGCCTATGATCACTCCGGCTAACTTCCCATCCTAGCCACGGGCTCACTGGATCCCAGCCACACTCTGAGAGGTCAGCTAAGAAGGTGCTGGCCGATGGCCCATTTTACAGATGTGAGACTGTCACATTCCTAAGGTCACACTGCTGGCAGACAGGAACCCAGGTGCTCATGATCTGAGTCACAAACCATCATAGCAACACAGTGGCCTTTGCCCTGCCACTTCTCCTCTCCCAAACCTCCCTGTTGGGCTTTCATCCCTAGGAAAGGAGGAGTGTTCAGGACCACCGCTAGCTCAGAAGGTCCCCAAGGCCTGACTTTGTCACTGGTGTCACTCACTAGCTCTGTGACCTTGGGTGAGCAACTTAACCTCTCTGTGCTTCAGTTTCCTTGTCTGTAAAATAGGGATATTACCATTTGCCTTTCCAGGTCACTGTGTTGAGAAAATAAGACCTCGACTGGGACCTGGCACCCTTTAGGTGCTCAATAAATATTGGTGGATTGGATAATTGGACAAACATCTGACTAACGGCTGTTGTTCTTTTGTTGCCAGGAGTGGGCAATCCACGATCAGTCAACAAATGCTAACTGAGCCCCTACCACGTGCCAGGCCCTGTGCTAAATGTTTTCTAAGCACACTCTCCCGAATTCCTCACAACCTGATAAAGAAAGCAAGATTCTTATGCCCATTTTCCAGATGAAGAAGCGGCAGCGCAGGGAGCTTAAGTGATGGGGGCAAGGTCACACAGCAAAGAAGAGGAGGAGCGGCTGATGCCCGTGCGCATGGCCTACCTCCCTCACTGCCCAGCTGGAGACCGGGAGGCCCAGAGAGGGCAGGTTATTTGCCCAAGGTCACGCAGAAGACGGTGGCCGAGGCCTCCACACCTCCGAGAGTTTCCGTCGCGGATCCCCCCCCTACCCCACCCTTTCACGCGCTCGGGCCCCTCCAATCCGCAGCTCTGCGTGCGGGGGCGCGCGCATCCCCCCGCCGTCCATCCGTCAGACCGTCTGTCTGGGTGTCTACGCGGGCGCAGCCGTGTACTGGTCCCCAGCCTCGGGCGCTGCGCAGCGAGAGGCAGGGCGTTCGCAGCGGCCGGCCCTCGCCCCACGCCCGCAGCCGGCAGACGGCAGCGCCTGCGTCCGCGCCCCCCCAGCCGGTGCGCGGGAGCCGCCGGGGCAAAGGCGCGGCGGCCGGCCGGCGGCGCATCTCTTACTCGCTCGCTCGCTCGCGCTCTGCGCTCAGGGGAAGCCAAGCCCAGAAGCCCCAGTAACCCGCCCTCCAAGATGAAGAAGCTCCAGGGAGCTCACCTCCGCAAGGTAGGGCGCGAGGGCGGGGGCGCACCTGAGGGAGGGGTGCGGAGGCCCGCCCCCATCGAGGCCCCGGGAGGGTGGAGAGGGCACCTGGACCCGACTCAGGGCTCTTGGGGAGGCCAGGCTGAGCTGGACTGCGGGGAGAGCCGAGGTCACGGTCTGGCGATGAGAGGGGGAAGGTGTTCCTCCAACTGCTTGGGGGTCTGGATGTAGTGTGATGGGGGCCCGGGTTCACTGGGCCAGGTCCTGCGAACAGGTGTCTGCAGCCCCAGGAGGCGCGGGGTAGGGGTGGCTGGGGTCAGGCCCCCGCCCATTTCCCCCAGGAGCTGACTGGGGGCTGGGGACTAGAACAGCTGAGCGCCAGCCTTGAGCTTTCGGGGGTGAGGGATGGGGGCGTCGACCTGGCCCTCATCCATGCGCTCTACACTGAAGCAGACTCCGAGAGCTAGCAGGGGGACCTCCTCTTTCCTGCCGCGCTCCTGCCCTGCTGGGCCCACCACCTGCTTCCCCATCCTTCTACCGGCAGCTTTAGCTTCCCTGCTAGGACCCCAGGGTGCCCCTCAGCAGGGCTGAAGGGAAGCAAAGGCACAAGGGAGGAAATGGGAAAGGGATCTGGGAGTGGAGTGGAAGCTGGCATGAGAGAGGGGGCCCAAATCTATACGTTCCTGGGGCCCTGGGCCCAGACCTCTGCCCCTCCCCACCTTGTCATGTGGGGTTGGACCTCCCAGCCAAGGTGCCTGTGTGCATGGGGAGGGAGAGTATTGGAGGAAGTTTTCTGGCTTTTGGCTTAAAAGTACCAGGACTAGCCAAGGAGTCAGAACTCCTGGACCCTATTTCTGCAGATGCCACTTCCCCTGTGACTTTGGGCAAGTCCGTTCTCTAACCTGGACCATCACTGGTCCATCCCCACTGTCCAGGCACCAAAAGCAGGCCCACAGTCCTGGGGTAGGGGATGCTGTGAACTCACAGGGGCTGGTAGATGTGAGAGAACTGCTCACAGGGCTGCTGTTATTGACCACTTCCCTCCCCCAACCCCCCCACCCCACACACACACACTCATTCAAGCTCTCTGCCCTTGGGCAGCTGGGCATGGAACCACTGTGATACGTGGGTTCTTTTGATTTGCTGACATGAGTGACTTCTTTGGGCCATTTGTGGGTCTCTTGGGTCTTCTTGATTCCTCCCCCTGTTCTTTTGCACCCTCTTACTCTCTCCCCTTTCCTCTCCCTCCCCACAAGAGTCCCCGCCCCTCACTGTCACAAGGCCACACATCATGGTAGTAGCCACATTGTGTGAAGCTTTGTCTCATGTAATCTTCCAACAGTTCTGGGGGCTAGGTCTTGTTAGCCCCACTTTATAGACCAGGAATACGAGGCACAGAGGGGTGCAGTTACTGCTTTCCTGAAGGTGGGCTGAGTAACCTAGGACCAACAGGGCGAGGGTGGGGCCGCCTGGCCTCAGGGTCCCCCTCCCTTGGTCTCAGGGAGAAGGGGGCAGGGAGTGAGGAAATGCCAGGTGTCAGCAAAGAAGCACCGTTGTTCAGAGAAGAGCGCTGGGCTGTGAGTCAGGGGGCTGGGTCCTGGTCTTGCTCTGTCCTTAACTTGCTGTTTGACCTTGGGCTCATCCCTTCTCCCTGAATCCCAATTTCCTCAGCTGCACAATGACGAGGTTGGACTCCAGATTCCTATTGTCTCTCATCCTGAGGAAGGTGTGAGAGCCTTGGCTTGGGCAGTCCGACCTCTCCCAGCCCCTGCCGCTGCTGGTGACCTACATCTGCTGGTTCCTAAAAGAGGGCATGCAGGTCTGGCAAAGCCATTCATTCAGCTTCCAAGCCTGCCCCATTGATTTGGCTGCTTTCCTCTCTCTTCCAACCAGTTCCATCCTCTCTGTGCCAGCCTCCTGGGATTCACCCCATGGTGGGAGTCGGGGCTCCAGGTGGGCTTCGGATTGGCTCAGCTCTGGAGGACCCCATCCCCTGCCCGTGGAGCAGAAGCGGGCTTTCCTCTGATTGGGGGAGGGGGGGACGGAAGAGCTGGCAGCATCCTGCTCTTGGAACTCTTATCACCATGGAAACAGAGAGCCAGGACCGCTCTGTGAACATAGAAAGGGCAGCAGCTTCTCAGGAGGCATCAGAGGAGCCTCATTACCAGGCCCTCCTGCCAGCTGGGGCATAGGGTGACAGGCCCTCCTCGCCACCCAATACCAGGGGCCAGTGTCCACTGGCTGCTATCATGTCCCTCTTGGAGCTCACCTGGGAGAGCGCGGTTCCAGAGGGCTGGTGCTCACCAGCTAGAGAGGAAGCCTTGGGGAAAAGGGCATCAGAGGGAAGGGTGGGTGTCAGAGAGGTCTGGGGGCTCTGCTCCCTGCACCCCAGCTTGTCTGAGACCGCAGCTCAGGAACCGCCAGGCACGTGTTTGTTTCCACCCTTGGAGCCAGGTTATTGAAAAGCAGCTTGTTTTTGCTCTTCATCTTTGTCACCATCACCCATAATCATGCCATGCTGTCCCCGTCACCACGGCCCCTCTGGCCCATAGCCAGCGTCTGGCGGGATCACACCCATGGTTGCTGCTACCGTTGAAAGTCAACCCAGCGCTGTTACCCATTTCTGCCACCTGCACCTATTGCCCCCATCCTGGCCCTGCAGCCGGACACCTCCAGTCCTGTGACACTCGTACTTCACCCCAGCAGTGCTCATATGACAAATCCCCAGCAAAGCCTCCTCTGTCACCACCTGATTTGTGTGAAGACACCTACCCGGGCTGGTGCCAGGAAGGGCAATTTTAGGGGAGAAACCCAAATCTGGTCAGTTGCTACTTACTGAGTCCCTGTGCGTGGGTCTTCTCTGGTCCTCAAGCACTGCAAGTGTCTCCAGGAAAGGCTCTTTGGGGAAGCTGGCCTCAGAGCATCAGAGCCAGAAGACTATTAGATAGAGATCCTCTAGACTTGCATTTCCCCTAGTATATCCCAGCATGCTAGCTCCTTGAAACCCTTTTCTTAAATAGAACTGGAGAATACCATCTGTTCTAGTCGCTATTTGGAGAGTCACGGTGCATATTGGTCCATTAAAGGATCTGACAAGTCCTGCAGCAAAGGAGCCTGTTTTACCTTGTGTTAACGCAGCTTTCCCCAAACTTCTTTGATTCAAGAATCCTTTGTTCCACCGAACACCTATGAACATCCCAAGGGATGTGTTTTTGGAAACACTGATCTATCCAATCCCCTTGGTGTCCAGATGGGGAAACTGAGGCTCAGAAGACTCTTTCCTAAAGTTGCACAGTGAATTGGCCCAGACCTGGGACTAGAATTATGGTCTCCTGACTCCCAGTCACTGCATTCCCACCACCGTTTCTCAGCAGGACCCTTTCTCCTCTCTGAAAACCACGGACGTTTTTTGATAATTGGCCTTCTTTGCAGTTCCATTCTTCCCTACTGTAGGGTGTGACTTTCAGAGGCAAGCAGGAAAGATGTGGCTGCCCCCTTCTCCTGACCCATTCCTGGGGTCACTTCTGGGAACTACTCTCTGAATTTTCTTTTTTGAGGAAGATTAGCTCTGAGCTAACATCTGTCTCCAATCCTCCTCTTTTTTGCTGAGGAAGACTGGTGCTGAGTTAACATCTGTGCCCATCTTCCTCTACTTTATATATGGGACGCCTGCCACAGCATGGCTTGACAAGTCGTGCGTAGGTCCACAGCTGGGATCTGAACCTGCTTTGGGCCGCCAAAGCGGAACGTGCAAACTTAACTACTGCACCATCGGGCCAGGCCCTACTCTCTGAATTTTAGGTAGTCATCCTCTTCCAGGCCCTAAACCCAGGTAGCTCACAGACATGCTAACTCACATCCCTCGGGACCAGATTCCAAGCACCTGGAGGAGGGCCTCCCTCTCTCAGCCCCAGCTTGAAGGGACAATGCCCAGTAGACTTCCCCACACTCCTGGAATTACGGGCTTGGGGGGGTTGCTGCGAGATGGACCCTCAGGGAGAGCTGCCCTCAGTTCCCTGTGCATGCATCTCTCCTCCGGTGACAGGAAGATTACGTTCTGAGACAAGTCAGGGCTTAAGCGACTTCTTCTTGTCCTCCTGTAACCGCTTTTCCTGAACACCCTCCAGTCTGGCCACCTGCCCTTTGGACGTGCTCCAAACTGTCTGTGTCTTTCTTAAAATACGATGTCCTGGATGGAGTAGCCAAACTGCAGCCCTGGTGGTTGAAGACGTGCACTTCAGCATCAGGAATCTCTGGGCTCGAGACCTGGTTCTCCCTCTAGCCAGTGCTGTAAAAACCTTGGGTATGCCATGATGCCTCTTGGAGCCTCAGTTTCCCCCATAATTACGATGGAGCTTGGACGAATGCTTAGCTCACAGGGTTGTTTTGAGAATGAAATCAGGTAATGTGAGTGAAATGTTCAGTGCCGTGAGCACACAGAAGGCTCAGCGCATGGTCACTGTTACTAAGATCATCATTGTTGTCATCATCACTGAAATAGGGCCCTCCTTTGATTCAACCTCTGCGTTAGCCAAGATCAAGGTGGCTTACTTAATGCCTGAGCCACCCTGCAGATCTCATAAGTTTCTAGTCACCTAAGACCCGGAGGAGCTCCTGCGTATGACCACGGATGCCCAGAAGCGCGCGGTTGAGTATCTGAAGCAGTAGAGTGTCTTTGCATGGAGTCCTATCAAGTCCGTATTCTTGTGTCAGGGTCAGAGTTTCAACCTGGCCTCACTTTTTTCTCTCACCCCTTGGTTCTCTCTTACTGGTAGCCTGTCACCCCAGACCTGCTGATGACCCCCAGTGACCAGGGAGATGTGGACCTGGACGTGGACTTTGCTGCAGACCGGGGGAACTGGACAGGCAAGCTGGACTTCCTGCTGTCCTGCATTGGCTACTGTGTGGGCCTGGGCAACGTCTGGCGCTTCCCCTATCGAGCTTACACCAACGGAGGAGGTATGGGCCTGAGGTGCTGCTTGAGGGGCATCCAGGGGGATGGGCCAAGAGCGATGGGCCAAGGCTCGGGTTGGAGTGAGGTTTTAAGTGGCCTCGGCCACTGTCTCCTATGTGACCTTGGGCAGAATTCATTGAAAGTGGTTTGTAGTGACTTGGGGCTGGAAGGAGGGAGCTCACCTTGCCCCTTTTGTCCCTTTTCATCACCCAGGCCCCTCCCCACTCTCTCTCATCCCCAGCATGGGTACCCACTTGCTTCTCTCTCTAAGCTTTGGCACCTCCTGGGCCCTGAGTGATGGGCAGAGGGGGCTGCCTCTGCTTCGTGATAAAGGGCTGTATCTGCCTGTCAGTGACCAATCACTGTGCTCTTAATAGTTCCCCCTTTGCCCCCCACCTCACCCCTTCCTCCAGAACCTCACTCCATCACTCATTCCTGCTCTTGAATCTCCAAGCCATCCTCCTCCCCTGGTTCCTTCCATTCAGACTGCAAACAAAAGTCTCTCCCATCTTAAACAAATTCTCTGTTGTCCCTGCTTCTCCATCAAGTGACTGTTCTAAGCCTCATTATCTATAGTGGGGTGGAGCACTCACCATCTGCCAGGCCCCAGGCTTGGTGCTCCCCATGCCTGTCTCATTTAGCCCTGAAGACGACCTTCCTGGGTGGGCACCGAGGTCCTGACGGGGCAGCCAGGGCTTGGAGAGGCCAGCTTCCCTGCCCAAGCTCACGTGATGGCCAAGCCAGCCTTCCACCCAGGACTATCTTTCTCCAGAGCCGACGCGTTCCCACCAGCAAGCACTGTATATCTCCTCCCATCTCTGCCGAACTCGTTAGAGAAGCGCCTATCGACAGAAGACAGAAAGCCAAACAAAACTAGATGAAGCCAGGACAAGATGGATTGATAGGACTGGGAAGTGTGGGACTGGAGCTGGCCTCTGAACCTCCAGGAACTCCATCTCCCTCGTCCCCGACTCTTTTTCCCTTTGTATGCTGACCTCACTTTCTCCTGGGACAGGCTTCCTCCTGGCAGTAGGGGTGGGGCGTGGCCAGAGACAGCTCGGGATGACCTCATCCTCAGAGCTGCCCTCTCTGAATGCATCTGTACGGAATTGCAGGGAAGGTCTATCATGGGCCTGCTTGAGATACCTGCCCACGCCGGGGCGGGTGTGGGCCAGGGGCGGGCCGGGGGCTGGCAGCCCTTGCAGAGCCATATGGCGGTGGGCTGTTCTCTAAAGGATCTGGCTGCCTTTATGAGAAGAAAAGGGGACGAGATGTTGGACACACGAGACCGCGGGTGGCAGCCACCAGCATCTGAGGCGACGGGGGAGGGAGAGAGGCAGGAGGATGGAAGCCGGGTGCTGAAGGGTGTTGATTTTCCTACTGGGGAGTTTGCACTTTCTTCAGCAGGAATTCACTCATTCATTGACTCATTTATTCATTCGCTTGCTCACTGTCTGCTCTGAGCCCTGCCCTGGTCTGGGCACTGGGGCCTCAGAGGTGAGTTAATCCCCCTCACCCCGCCCCTTGGTCCTCAGTGGTCTCCTGGTGTAAAAGCAGACAGTCCCACTCCACCACGTGAGAAGTGCTCCGTGGGGTCACAGGTCGTGTCGGGGAGGGGCGGGGCTGGAGCTGGGCTCCAGGGGGAGCTGACCCAGCCGGACCCCCCCACCCTCCCTCCTGCCCACAGGCGCCTTCCTCGTGCCCTATTTCCTCATGCTAGCCATCTGCGGCATCCCCCTCTTCTTCCTCGAGCTCTCTCTCGGCCAGTTCTCCAGCCTGGGGCCCCTGGCCGTCTGGAAGATCAGCCCCCTCTTCAAAGGTGAGGCCTCCGTGGTCCCCGGGGTGGCCTGGGCTTGGGGAAGGCAGGGAGGCTGCCCCCCATCCCCTGACCTCCCTGCGCCCACGCCCAGGTGCCGGCGCGGCCATGCTGCTCATCGTGGGCCTGGTGGCCATCTACTACAACATGATCATCGCCTACGTCCTCTTCTACCTCTTCGCCTCCCTCACCAGCACCCTGCCCTGGGAGCACTGTGGCAACTGGTGGAACACGGACCTCTGCCTCGAGCACAGAGGCTCCAAGAACGGCAACGGGGCCCTGCCCCTCAACCTCACCAGCACCGTCAGCCCCAGCGAGGAGTACTGGAGGTCAGGTGGCTGTCTGAGCCGGCAGCCATCTGGGAGGGCCCCCATTGCCACTGCAGGGGGCCCGGGGGCAGGGGTGTGCCGGCGTCCCCAAGGGGCTCAGCGTGCACCTCGAAGGCCGAGTTCAGGTGCTAGCGTTAGGTGGACTCTGGGTTCTGATCCCAGCTCTTCACCTGAGCAGCTGGGTGATGTTGAAAAATTTATGTGGCTTCTGATGCTTTCTCTTTGAAGGGGCTATGATAAGAGTATTTCAGAGGGCTGCTGTGAGGGTTAAAGGAGAGAAGACGTATAAATTGTGCCAAACAGCCTGGTGGGTAGTACGTGCTCCATAAATGCTAACTGATAATAGTGATGCTGGTGATGATGGTAAGAGTAACCTTTTAGAGCCTCAGCTTCCTCCTCTGTACTAGGGGGTGGTACCAGTCCCTGCTTCCTAGGATGTTATCCAGTCAGTCACTCCCTCCTTCTTTCAATAGGTATTTATTGAGCCCCTCCTGCGTCAGTAGGTGAAGTGCTGAGTGTGGGCCAGCACCATCCATAGGAGGGACTGTCTCAGATTCGTCTAATGGGAGAGAGAAGACTAGAGTAGAGTAAGGGGCTGTTGTGGGAATTAGACCAGGTAATGCACGTAAAACCTTTATCACAGCGCCAGGCATTGAGCGCCCCAGGATTGGTGGGTGTCAGGATAGCGCCGCTCATCAGCCTGTCCCGAAGCCCTACTTTATAGCTGAGAAAACAAGGCGCAGAGGCTTGCTCCATAGTTGGTGGCAGAGGCAGTACTGGAACCAAGGACTCCTGATTCCTGGTCCTCTTCTGGAACATTCCAGAGTAGCCTGGTCCCTAGGTAGGGACCACTGGTTGACAAGAGGACACAGACCAGATATCCCCATCCCTTCACCTTCAAAGGGCTGCTCTTAGGAATTGTTCCCCAGATGGATCCCCTGTCTTGAAATGTTTTGGTCTCCAACCTGCATTTATTACCTGGTTCATTCATTTGTCTATTTAAAGTCCATCCGTGTGTCTGCACCTGCTGAGAAGTATGTCAGACCAGTGGGAAAGGGCGGGCTTGGGCCTGCAGCTTGAAGCTGAAGAACGTGAGGTGGTCACTGGCAGCTTCCAGGGGTGTCCGTGGAAACACCATGCCGCCTCATGGGTTGGGGTGCAGGCGGGAAGCACGCAGCCCTCTCTGAGGGCTTCACTGAAGGGAGTTTGGTGAAGGGACTTTACAGAGGTCGGGGAATCCACAAGGAAAGGGGAGGCACCAGGGACTAGCAAGAGGGACAGCCGTACCATCCCTGAGCCAAGGAGGCGAGAGGGACCGGTGTTACTGGAACCAGGGCGATTTGTGGCCTGGATGGAGGGGCTGCATAACGAGAGCTGTGCGGCAGAAGGCAGTCATAGCCAGACCCTCTGATGGCATGTGTGATTCACGTGTGCACGCATGCATGCATGTGTACACGTGTGTGTGCAAGCACCCCAACCCCTCACTCCTCCCACCCTCCAGTCTCCTGCCGTTGCCTCCCACTAGCCAAACCCAAATGGAAACGAGGAGGAAGGCAGCTTGGGTGGTGGGGTCTGGAGAGGACAGCCTCCTGGGTGCAGAGCTGGTCAGAGAAGGATGGGGAGGAATCAGATGGAGAATAGCCAGGATCGCCTAGTAGACTGGCCGCAGCTTCACTCCATGTCTGTGGAGTGTGGCAGGGTGACTCAGACCTTCACCTCCCACAGCCGCTACGTTCTCCACATCCAAGGGAGCCGGGGCATCGGCAGCCCCGGGGGGATCCGCTGGAACCTCTGCCTCTGCCTGCTGCTCGCCTGGGTCATCGTGTTTCTCTGTATCCTCAAGGGTGTGAAGTCCTCCGGCAAGGTGAACCCTGGGAGGCCCTGGAGGCCTGAGGGGCTGGGTAGGGTGAAGGCTTCCCGGAGGAGGCAGGGCATGAACTAAGCTTGAGAGGATAAATAGACTTCAACTGGGAAGATAGGAAGGGAGAGGGCATGGAGGCATTTGAAGAAAGAGGTAGAGGTAAAGATGGACAGCAGCTCGGCTGGTTCACTAGACTAGAAACTTGCCGAGGGCAGGACCTATCTGTTATTCAAGTTTGTATCCTCACCTAGTGCTTGGCACTTTGAAGAGCTCAGCAAACGTTTGTTGAATACTTGGAGGGTGGGTATATGAGTCAGGGCTCCTTGAGATGCAAGTGCCACACTCAATTGGAAAGTCCAAAGGGTGTGCTTCAGGCACGGCTGGATCTAGGGTTTCGATAGATGTTATAGGAATGTAGTTCTCCCCATCTCTCGGCAATGCTTTCCTCCAGACTGGCTTCCTTCTCAAGCTTCATTCTCCAGGAGCTTGCCACCAGCAGCTCCAGGCTTACATCTTACCCACTTAGTGAAGGGTTCTCCCAGTTTTCAAAAATCCTAGAGTTGAGTCTTACCAGATAAGCTGGATCCTGTTTCCATCCCTGAACCAGTCACTGTGGCCAGGAGGGCCAGAGTGCTCTGCTTGGCTGGGCCTGGGTCACTTGCCCACCCCTGGAGCTGAGAATGGAATCAGCCCCAGCTAGGGAAAGTCAGGGGACTGTTATCTGAAGAAGGCCGGCGAGATGCTGGGAAGACAAAACCACAGATGCCCACTTTAGGTTAGGAAGGGCGAGGAGGGTCGTAAAGCTGTTTCAGAAGGGCTTGGAAACCTTCTGCATGGTTTACTCAACCACTTATAGATTAGAACTTGTGCCTCTGCAAAGTGCTGAGAAGTGTTGTCCACGAGGAACAGAATCATTCAAAGAAAGGCTAGAAAGACAGGGTAGAAACCATGCAGCAGGAGAGGAGAGTCGTCGGCGTGGAGCTCGAGAGCTGGAGGGGTTTGCTGAGGGACTGGCTAGAGGTTTGGGCACGGTGGAGACGGGGCAGAGGGGATTTTTGGAGTGTGCACTGTCTGGTGACCGTGCAGGGTGGGTGTGCAGGGCTGGGGGAGTGGACATGGCAGGGAGGAGAGTGTTATAACCTCCAGGCAAGGGGCGGTGGTGGCCCGGACCCAGGCACGGCAGAGCTGGAGAGAGTGGCTGGATGTGGGACGGCCATGGGGAGCAGTGGCAGGACTTTGCTGATGGGATCCGTGTGTGGAGGGAGGGAGCGAGGGAAAGAGAAGCATCAGGGATGACAGCTGTTCCCAACCGGGGCTGTCCATAGGGTGGGGAGGCGAGTTAGTAAGATGGGGACTTCTGGCGGAGGGGCAGGGTGGAAGGAGGGCCATGCGTGCCTTTCATCTCCACTTGTCATCGCCCAGGTGGTGTATTTCACGGCCACGTTCCCCTACCTCATCCTGCTCATGCTGCTGGTCCGCGGAGTCACCTTGCCGGGGGCCTGGAAGGGCGTCCAGTTCTATCTCACCCCCCAGTTCCACCACCTGTTGTCTTCTAAGGTGAGGCCCTTGGGGCTGGGATGTGGAGGGAGGGGTCTGGCCTGAGCCGGGGAGTTGAAAGAGGGCCCCTTGGGGAAAAAGGGAGGCCAGGACTGGGACTCTCATGTGGTGAGCCCCCAGTATCAGGTACTGTGTTCGGCACTGTGTGTCCTTTTCATTTGTTTTTCTTCACAACCCTATGAAGTAGACGTTATTCTCCCACTTTACGGATGAAAAAACTGAGGCCCAAATGAGGTGGTGATCAGCTGAAGGTCACACGGCTAGGGAGTGGCAGAGCTGGGATTCCAACCCAGATCTGTCTGACTCTAAACCCCAGGCAGAGCATTAGTAATAATAACAGTAACAACCACGGTACCAACAGCCAACATGCCTTGCTTACTGACGGATGACTGTGCCTGACCTGCCCTAGCACTTCGTGTATATGTAGTCACTTAATCCTTACACCACCCCGCGAGGGAGGCATTATTCTTATCCCCTCGTCACAGGTGAGGGACCGAGGCTCAGAGAGGTGATGTGGCTTGCCCAGGCTACACAGCTAGAAAGCAGTGGAGCTGGGATCCAAATCCGGGTCTCCCCGGCTCCAGGGAGCGAGTAAAGGGGTTACAGGGGCTTATCGCCAGGCTGAGCCTCCTAAAAATTTACGCGAGGCACTACTTCCTTCAGAACTGGACCAGTCTTAGAGATCATCTTCTAGATCCTGGTTGGGGAAACTGAGGCCCAGAAAGGGGAAGGGACTTGCCCGAGTTCCAGTGTAAGTGTTGCAGCCAAGTTTGCTCCTGGCCCACGTCACCTGTGAGCCAGACGCTTCACCAAGCCACCCCTGGAGCTGCCGCCCGCCTCTCGCCCCCCCTCCTTCCTCCTCTTTCCTTGGCCCTCCGGACACCATCGTGGGCAGCCCCTTCTCTTTGCGCTCCATCTTCCTCCTTCCCTGCCACAGGTGTGGATCGAAGCTGCTCTTCAGATCTTCTACTCCCTGGGTGTGGGCTTCGGGGGTCTCCTCACCTTTGCCTCCTACAACACGTTTCACCAGAACATCTATAGGTCAGTGTCCTGCAGCCTCCCACACCCTGGGGGCTGGAGTTGGGGGGGGAGGGTGGCTGGCCGAGGAGGGCCTCGTGGGGTGAGGGTGGAGCCAGCTCATCCAGCCTGTGCCTGGACGTCTCCCGGTAGAGACACCTTCATCGTCACTCTGGGCAATGCCGTCACCAGCATCCTGGCTGGCTTCGCCATCTTCTCCGTGCTGGGCTACATGTCTCAAGAGCTGGGTGTGCCTGTGGACCAAGTAGCCAAAGCAGGTGGGCAGGCTGCCCGGCGCTGAGGGGTGAGGGTGTGTGTCGGGCACAGCTGGGCCCGGGCAAGTGAGCACATGTGTGGACCAGCAAGGTTGTGGATGTGTATGTCAAGTGTGTGTGTGTACACGTGAGTGCATGAACACACAAATTAACATGTCTTAGCTGGTCTCTGGGTGTCCCTGTGCAAAGGGGGATGGGTGTGCAAATTAGTGTGTGTTAACCTGTGTTTAGAGAGAGACAGATTTCTGTCTGAGATTGTCTTATGTTTTATCACATCTTAGTAACTCTCCTTACTTGTCCAGATGAGTCATGTCCTGTGTCGTGATGTCTGTGTTCAGGTGAATGGAGGGTACAAACGGTCTTGTGCATCAGTGTCTTGTGCTAATGGATGTGTCTAAGTATGTGCCTTAGTGGGATTGTTTGTGCAAAAGGTTGTGTACATAAGGGTATTGGAAGGAGGTGTTATGTTTGGGTCTTGTGTTTATTCGTGTGCTCATTAATCCATCTGTTTTATCAGCCTGTGCTCACTGAGTGCTGACAGTGTGCGGCCTGTGCCCTAGGCGTGAGAAAGTGTTGGAAGTGTGCAGTTAATGTACGCCTCTGGGTTTGCCGAGTGGGTATAAGCGCCCGTGTGTGTCAGAGTCTGTATGTGGGGCCCACCGCATGCCCCAGGCTGCTGACCCCGTGTGCCCTGGGCCCAGGCCCCGGCCTGGCCTTTGTTGTCTACCCACAGGCCATGACCATGCTGCCTCTGTCGCCCTTCTGGTCCTTCCTTTTCTTCTTCATGCTGCTGACTCTCGGCCTGGACAGCCAGGTGAGCCTGGTCCGTGCCAGCGGGTATGTGGTGCGTGTGTATGCATGTGCGTGTGAGATATGTGACTTTGTAGCTGTGTGTGTCTATGTATGTGATGTGTGTATTTCTGTGTGATATGTGAGTGTATCTGTGTGTGCCTGTGTGAGTGTGTATCTGCGTGTGTGTGATGTGTGTGTATGTGTATCTCTGTGAGTGTGTGTATCTGTGTGTATGTGTGTCGTGGGGGTAGAATGCTGACGCCCCCCTTCCTCCCCCCAAGTTTGCCTTTCTGGAGACCATTGTGACAGCTGTGACGGACGAATTCCCATACTACCTGCGGCCCAAGAAGGCCGTGTTCTCGGGGCTCATCTGCGTGGCCATGTACCTGATGGGGCTGGTCCTCACCACCGACGTGAGTGGCTTTGCAGGGTGGGTGGCTGGTGGCGAGGCTGGGGAGGCACCTGCAGCAGTGTCTGTGGCCAGGCTGAGCACTCCCTGAGCCACCCGCTTCTTCCTCTTTGGGAGGAACCTAGCCCGCCCAGTGCCCTCTCCCCCAACAGGCAGCTTTGCCTATGACCCCGAGTCCTGGCTTTGGAGTCTGAAAGACCTGGGTTTCCTGCAGTTGCTTTATGACACCAGGACAAGTGGCTTCCCCTCCCTGAGCCTGCTTTCCCATCAATAAAATGGGGGTCTTCATCTAGGGCTGTTGTGAGCCTACGATAAGATGATGTATATAAAGGGCTTGGCAGGGAGACAGCAGTCACACTGTCATCGTCCTGCCCTCCCCACTGGCCTGGCTGCTTCCTGCTCGCTGCCTGCCTGGAGAGGGGCTGTAGCAGGGAGCGAGGCCGGGGTGAGGGGCTCCCAGAGCTGTGACTTGTATTGCAGGGGGGCATGTACTGGCTGGTCCTTCTGGATGACTACAGCGCCAGCTTCGGGCTAATGGTGGTGGTGATCACCACGTGCCTCGCCGTCACCCGGGTGTATGGTGAGAGGGGGCTTGGGAGGTGGGGTCGAGGCTCCCCACAGTGGGAGGGTGGGAGTCTACCCTGGAGCCCCCTGCAGCTGGGTCCCTGGTCCCGAGGCTGGGGTTTGCGGTGGGGGCAGCTGGGGTGGAGGAGGGGCCGCTGGCACTGTGGGCCTGCAGGTGGGCCATCCTCCTCCCGCCCCTCCCCTGTGCAGGCATCCAGAGGTTCTGCCGGGACATCCACATGATGCTGGGCTTCAAACCGGGTCTCTACTTCAGGGCCTGCTGGCTGTTCCTGTCCCCAGCCACGCTCCTGGTAACCCTGATGGGAGGCAGGGCTGCTGGATGGGGCCCGGGACTGAGGGCAGGGCCCCTCTGGGTGTCCAGTCTGGTAGGGCTGCCCTGGTCCAGGGTAGACCTCTGTCAGGGCTGAGGGGTGGGCCGGGCGTGAGGATTCTGGTCTACCCCCATCCCCCTGGATGCCCCCACTTTTGTAGCTGTGCTGGGCCTAGTCCTAGAATTGGTCGACACAATGAGGGGGACTATCTCAGGCTTCTGGGCCTTAGGGCTGGGGCCTTGAGGTTGGAGCAGCTCAGGGATAGGCCATCTCAGGAATTAGGGTGCTTCAGAGCTGGGCTGTCTCAGGACTTGCCAAGGCTCCAGAGACGGACCATCTCAGGTTCTCGTACAGATTAGGACTGGGCTGTCTCAGACACTGAGTGGCTCTGGGTTGGGCTGTCTCAGGCCTTGAGGTAGTTCAGACCTGGGCTACCCCAAGCCCTGGGACCTGGCTGAGGCCCACTGTGATGCTTGGATCCCCCGCCCGCAGGCCCTGCTGGTGTATAGCATCGTCAAGTACCAGCCATCGGAGTATGGCAGCTACCGCTTCCCAGCCTGGGCGGAGCTGCTCGGCATCCTGATGGGCCTGCTGTCCTGCCTCATGATCCCCGCCGGCATGCTGGTGGCCGTGCTGCGAGAGGAGGGCTCACTCTGGGAGGTAAGTCCGCCCCACCCTGCCTGCCCCCCACCCTCCCGCCCTGTGGCCCTGCCCTGGGCCCACCTGCTGGCAAAGAAACCTTCTGCACCCTCACCTTCTCCAGGGCTGTGCAGATCTCTGTTAGCCCCAAGAGCAGTTTTTCTAACCAGTAGCCTGAGCTGGGAAGCAGGCTTGGGGGCTGAGGCCTGCCCTGTGGCCCCTCACACCACATAAGGCCTCTGCGGGGGGCACAGTCCAAAGATCACCAGCGTCGGCCAGTGCTCACATGTCTCGAGGGGAGGACAAGGGACTTACCAAGGTCCCACAGTGAGTCAGGCAAGGTCAGGACTTGAATGCAGGTCACCAGCCCAGAGCTTCCCTATGGAACTCAGGGTCCGAAGGCAACACGGAGGGACCCCAGAGAGTGGGCTTGTCACCCTCCTCCTGTGGCCCACAGGTGACCTGGGAATGGGATGATGGTGTGAGCCCTGGCCCTGGCCAGGGCTGTGTGGAGAGACCCAGAAAGCATAGAGCTGTTTGGCACGGGAATCTACAGGCCTTGGAAGATATGAGTAGTGACCCCTTGTGGGCCAGTGGACATGCTGTGTGACCACTCTGAGGTCCTGCCCCTCTCTGAGCCTCAGGGCGCCCTCTGTACACTGAGCCATCCACTTTTGAGTCCGTGGGTGTGGAGTCCTCTGGTGGCAAGGGGCTGTCATAGTGAGCGGAGCTCAGTAAGTCTGTTAGGGCCTGAGAAAGCCTGGGGATCCACCCCTGACACACCCCCAAACCCCCACACCCCCACACCCATCAGAGGTGTGCTGGAACCAGCTAGTACTGCTTCGTGACAGCCGATTGTTCAATACTCAGGAATGTTGTGAGCCAGCTGTTAAACCATCGATAGCTTGAAATGGACATTGGTAGGGATTTTTTTTTTCAATTATTTGCTTTTATTTTTTTTCTGCTTTTTCTCCCCAACCCCCCCACCCCCCCAGTACATAGTTGTATATTTTAGTTGTGGGTCCTTCTAGTTGTGGCATGTGGAATGCCACCTCAACGTGGCCTGACGAGTGGTACCATGTCTGCGCTCAGGATCTGAAACAGCGAAACCCTGGGCTGCCGCAGCAGAGTGCATGAACTTAACCACTCGGCCACGGGGCCGGCCCCATGGTGGGGATATCTATACCACTGAAGTGGCTACAGATGCGCCCTCCACCCCCATCCCCAGCCTGCTCACCAGCACACTACTGCCCCCACTTCCCATACAGTCCCTCAGCTGTCCCTCACCCTGCCTCCCTGTCTCCACCTGGAGAGAGGCTCAGAGCCCTTCCCTGGCAGAAGTGGGTTGTGGCCACACCGCCCAGACCACGGGGGAGTCCTAGAGTCCAGTCACTGCTCTGCCTCCAACTGCTGTGTGACCGGGGCAAACCCTTTGCCTTCTCTGAACCTCAGGAGCCCCACCTGTGCTACAAAAGGAAACTTGTCTCCTTGCTTGAAAGCCAGGGTGTCTGCAAAGTGTAGGAGGTGGGGGGTTGCTCAGGGTCGGGGGTTACAGCCCCCCAGAAGCTCATGGTCCCCAAGCCTTGCTCTGCCTCCCTGCTGCCCTGCTGCTGCAACTGCCCCCAGCTGGGTGGAGGGGACACGTGGGGGGACACTCCAAGGAGTCACTGCCGAGTTCAGGAGTGCCACCTTCAGAGACCAGGGCTTCCAGCACTGATGCACTAGGATTGGAATCCTGAGTCTGCCATTTACCAGCTGCGTGACCCTGAGCAAGTTAATGCACCTCTCTGAACCTTGCTTTGTCTGTCCTTAAAATGAGGACAGTGATACCTACCCATAGGGTTGCTGTGACTGTCCGCACAGTTGGTACTATGAGAGGCAGAGAAGCAGAGTATTTTAAAAGTTTAGGATGGAGTCAGACGGCCTGGGTTCAAACCCCACTTCCCACCTGTGTGACCTTGGCCAACTTAACTAACCACACTGAACTTTACTTTCAGAGAAGATCTGTAGGGGTGGAGGCTAGAAACAATAAGGTCCCCTTGCAGGGCTACTGTGAGGATTAAATCAGCCGCACTTAGCACAGAGCTGGCAGGCGGCGAGTGCTCCATTCCAGGCCAGCAGTTCTCTCAGGGGTGCTTCTGCCCTCCGAGGACATCTGGCCATGCCTGGAGACAGCTGTGATTGCCCTGGGAGGACAGGGTGCAGGGGGCGTGCTCCTGGCATCCAGTGGGTAGAGGGTGGGATGCTGCTAAGCCCCCTTCGGGGTGCAGAACAGCTCCCACACCCGGAATTCTCCAGACCACAGTGTCAACGTGCTCGGGCTGAGAAGCCTGGTCCAGGCACCAGTGTTCAGCCGGAGACAAATCTAAGTCCTTGCTCTCAGGGAGCTTGTGTTCTAATGTGGGAGACAGACAATAAACAAATAAACATAGACAGCGGTACTTGGTGTACGTAACAAGAACAAAATCAAAACCAGAATCAGATAACAGCATAGAGCACGATGGAGGATGGTGTTTCAGCCAGCGTGGCCGGGGAAGGCCTCTCTGATGAGGTGACAGAAGCCTGACCAAAGGGACGAGGTGATCCATTTAGATAGCTAAGGGGAGAGCATTCTGGGCAGGAGGAGAATCAGTGCAAAGGCCCTGAGGCAGGGGGGTTGACATGTTTGAGAACAGCAGGGCTGGATCCGAGTGTTTGGAAGAGAGTGGCAGGAACTGAGGTCAGAAAGGTAAACCAGAGGCCAGGCCATGGAGGCCGTTGTGAGCACTGGGATTTCTCTCCACTGAGATGATAAGTGTTGGCAGGTTTCTGAACAGTGAGGTAACTGCTCTTACTACAGTTCAGTAAGCGTCACTGTGGGGCCCAGCCCGGTGGTGCAGTGGTTAAGTTCGCACATTCCACTTCTTGGCGGCCCGGGGTTCGCCGGTTCGGATCCCGGGTGCAGACATGGCACTGTTTGGTACACCATGCTGTGGTAGGCATCCGACATATAAAGTAGAGGAAGATGGGCACGGATGTTAGCTCAGGGCCGGGCTTCCTCAGGGAAAAAAAAGAGGAGGACTGGCAGTAGTTAGCTCAGGGCTAATCTTCCTCAAAAAAAAAAAAAAAAAAGCATCACTGTGCTTTGAGCACGGAGCCGTGCTAGGCCCTGGGCTAAGGGCCTCCAGTGGGCCCCACCTCATGCTTGTTGTCTTGCCTCTTTGAAGGGTCAGGGGCTTTTCTCCCTGGTGGGGGCAGGCAGAGGGCTTGGGGAATGAGGTCTGAGGAAGAAGGAACCCAGGATGTACAGGCTTAGTCATCATCTTAGTCAGCTCCCACCTTCCATGGAAGCTGGTGCCCCGAGAGGGGAGGATCAAGGCTGCCACTGAGTCAGAACGAGGCAGTGTCAGGCACTTGGAAGGTCAGCGACAATCCCCGCCTCAATTCTCCCGTCATGGCTCTTCCCAGAAACTCCCAGCTCCTTAGGCCTCAGCATTTAGGGGGAGGGACCCAGAATGGGCCCCTGGACTGGCCTGCTGAGTAATCAGAACAGCAGCCACCGTTCACGGGCCCTCCCCTGTTCCAGGCGCCCTGCTAGGTGCTTCATCTCAGGGCGCTCACATCCCAGGAGGCCTCATGATCCCCAGGTTACAGGGGAGGAAGCAGGCCACAGAGAGCTGATTCCATGCCACCTTCCAAGCGGCAGAGCAGGGTTCTCATCCGGGCATGTGACCGACTCCCTCTGGGGAGTTAGTGCCCCCGTCCCGGGGTTGTTGCGTGGGTCAATCCAGGTGATGTGGTGAGGTCTTTGCCGGGTGCCTGCCTCTGGCAATCTCCATGAGCGCCAGCTGTTTACCGCTGTCCTTGCTCTGCCGCAGCGGCTCCAGCAGGCCAGCCGGCCGGCCATGGACTGGGGCCCGTCGCTGGAGGAGAATCGGACGGGCATGTATGTGGCCACACTGGCCGGGAGCCAGTCGCCCAAGCCGCTGATGGTGCACATGCGCAAGTACGGGGGCATCACCAGCTTCGAGAACACCGCCATGGAGGTGGACCGGGAGATCGCCGAGGAGGAGGAGTCTATGATGTGAAGGAGGAAGCAGGCGGACGGCTGGGAGCCCTGCCTGGGCCGCCGTGGGCAGCCCGCCCTCTGGGGGTCTGAGAGGCCCGAGGTTGCTGGAGGTTGCCATGGTGATGCTGGTCCCCCGTACAAGTCCCTCCTTGTGGCCTCTGCCTCTCTGGAAACCTCTGTCTACCCCCTACACACACACACACACACACACACACACACACACACACACACACACAGACCCATTTGAAGCTGAGAATGATTCTGCTCAGCCCTCACTTTGCAGATGGACAAACTGAAGCCAGGGAGGAGGGACTTACCCAAGGTCACTTGGCAGAGGGGACTGGACCCCAGGCCTCCTGACCAGCCAGCTCCCTTTCTCATGTGGCAGCTAGCACCACCCTCTCAATTCTGTTCAGGGCCCAGAGCCCTCCCTTTCCCCAGGGAGCCTGAGCCACACAAGTCAGCCGGAATCTTAAGCTGGGCGGCGGGAGACTCGGCACCCTGAGGCCCGTGTGGCCCTGGGCGTCAAGAGTTAGCAGGTCAGGTGGGAGTGAGATCCCTGTGGCTTCATGTGCACAGGCCGTGTTCTCTGAAGGAGGTGGGACCTGAGGGCCTGGAGGATGGGCAAGTTTGGAGAAAGAGAAGAAGAGGTCAGAGTGGGGAGGAGCTGGCCCAGCCAAGGTGCGAAGGCCAGAAGGGAGGCCCCTCCTCCTCCCGTGGGGCGAGGAGGAGGCCGGGGGCAGAGACCAAGGGCTCAGGAACAGGGAGGGTGGTGGGAGAAGCAGGTGTTAGCAGGTGACAACAGGGTTCAGGTGGGAATGGAGAATGCTGGGGAGCGGGGAGCCAGGGATGTGGGGTGGGCAGGGGTTTGCATGATCTGGTCGATAGAACATTCTTCTGGGTGCAGGCTGGATTGGAGGGGACAGGGTGGAGGTGGGTGGCTTGTGGAGGATGGTCAAGAGGGTCTGGTGGCCTAAGCTAGGGTTTTGGGGGTGAGGAGAGAAAGGAAGACCCCATACTTCCAAGAATGCCCCACAACTTTCCTTGCTGGGCCCCGTACCCTCCAGCATAGGGAGCCCTGGGCCTGATTAGGACAGAGGGGAGGGAGGCCTGAGCTGTACGCGCTGCAGAGGTGGGAACGAGGGGTCATAGTCAGGACCCAGGGCCTGTCTCTTCCCTTCTCCCTTGTCCTGGCCGCCCTCACTGTCTCCTCCAGCTCCAGGAGTTGCTGGGAGATTGGCCGTGGCTGTGGAAGACCAGGGCAACTAAGAGACACATATCTGTCTGGTCCTGATGCTGCCCACTCTGCCCAGACATGAGGGTGAAGGCAGAGACAGTGGGCAGCCGACACCCCAGGCCTGTGGCTAGAGGCCTTGGCACCTTCAATCCCCAGGCACAAGAGGGGCCCTGGGGTCCCTCCTTCCCTGAGAGATGAGGGCAGGGTGTGAAAATGCCCGAGCAGGTCTCCTGCACACGGCGTTCTCCAATGGGGCAGGGCACCCCTGTGCAACTGTGACAGCCTCTGTGCCCTGTCTCTCTCCTGGTGTCTCCCCAAGCCATCCGTGTTCTATTGGTTTATTGTTAATAAACGCCAATGAGGTCATCTTCCTTACGCTGTCTCCTTACTGCTGAGAGCTGTGAGGTGGGCAGCACGGGGCTTTCCGGCTCCCCCTGGACAGACGAGGAAACTGAGGTTCAGCTGCCTCCTTTCCTGGCCCCCGTGGCTTCTGACACTTGCTCTGCCATTTCTCTGTGGCCAGTGGTGGGTGGGTAGGGCTGAGGAAGGGTGATGAAGATGAGGAAGGCCCTTAAAAACCACTTAGTCCCCCATTAGACACCTGGACAAACCAAGGCCTTTGAAGGGGAAGAAACTTGCTCCAGTTTGCCCAGCTGAGGCAGGCAGAGCCAGGACAAAGCGCGGCCACCAGCGTTCTCCGTTCTCGGCCCGCTGCCGACCCGCTGCCGCCTGCTTTCCCTCTCCAGCGGTTCCCCAGCCTCACCTGCAGGAGAAGCCGGAGCTGGAAGACCAGGGCTGGGAGGAGCCAAGGGTTTCCCAGGCTGGAAGAACTTCCTGGTTCTGCCCACCCCGTCCTGGCAGGGCCTTGCCATATAAAAGAGCCCCAGGGCCTTTCAAATGCGAGGCCAGGTGTTTGCAAAGGCTTTGACTGGGGGTGGAGAGGAAGGGCCACTGCATATTTCGGATATTAATAAATTTCCCCTAACAAAGGGCCGGGCCCCCTCCCGCCCCTCTTTGTTTGGGGCTCTAGGTGGGGGAAGAGAAATGGGTTTGCTAATTTGCAGAGGATGCAAGAATGGCCTTCACAATTCAGGGTGCTTCTTCCCACACCCCGGGGGCAGGCTCCAGCCTTGCTAACAGAGCCTCTGGCGCCAGCCCTTGCAGAGTGGCCCTGTCCCCGGGCCTCTGTCCGGGAGGAGGCGCTGCCCGCTCTCCCCGCTGCTCTGGGACAGACCCCAGGCCCGGGCTATGGACTTGAGAGTACTCCTCACCCAGCCTCTTGGCTGCAGCCTGGCCTCCTGGGAGTCACATGTGGAATTTAGGTTTCTCCCTAGATTCCGAGACTGTGACTGGAGGATTCTGGGAGTCTATGGACCCCACCAGCCTCACCTCCCCTGCCTTGCTTCATCCTTCCTTCCCTTCCCCTGCGGCTGGGCCTGTGGTTTCTGCACTAGCCCTCCGTAGCCCGGTCCTCCACGCTGTCCTGCTTTTCCCGTTCCCACTGCTCCCAGACGCACTCTCCTGCCACACCACCCTCTCCTCCCTCTGCTGCCCGCGCCATCTCCCAGCTCCTCCCATCCTGATCCTTCTACTGACTTCAGGACTCCCTGGCTCAGAACAACCCCAGCCGGGCCCCTACTGCAGTAGGAACTGACCGGGGACCAGGGACCCCGATGACAGCAGAACAGGCACCTGAGGAGAAGCATGTGCCCTGCCTGGAGTGGGACCCCAGCCTGGAATCCTAGACTGTCCTAGCAGATGCCAAACCCAAGAGCCTCCAAGGCCAGGCAGGGGACCCAGTGACAGAGCTGTAGGAATGAGCGGGAGAATACATGGCAGCTGCCTCTTGGTCAGTGTTGGAGGGACAAGACAGAAGGGAGGCTGCGACGAAGCAGAAAGAAAGCAGGCCTGTCTTCAGAGGGAGACTACCCCTAGAAGTGTGGGCCCGGGTAGCCAGGTAGCCCAGCTTTGTAAGAGAAGTTAGAAATCCGGATTTTTATGAGAAGTTTCCCATTTTTAAATATGAGCAATTGATTCAAAAAGACATAAAACAGCATGGCTCACTTAGGGCCTCCCATGGGCCTCTCCATGCAGGGTCATAGCTGCGGACTTGGGGGGCTGCAGCCAGAGGGGCAGGGCTTGCCCCAGGCCCACGTGAGCGTGCGCTAGAGCTGAGGCCAGGCCCAGGGCTCCCCAGCCCCACTCAGTGCTCTGCTCCCTGCCTCAGCTGATCTTGTGTCCATGACCCCTGACTCCAGAGGCTGGTGGGGGGCCCTGGGGGACAGCATATATGCCTGGCTGGGGTGTGATGGAGGGTGCCCTGGGGCCCTTCATTCCTGTTCTGGCACTCAGTGTTCTCTTGAGCAGTGCTGTGAAGCCCTGAGATGGGGCACTGGACCATCTGCAGTCACTTCCAGCCTGGGATCTGTGAGAGCAAACCTGGGGGGCGGGGGGAGCGGGAGTGGGGGTGAGGGCGGATAGGGAGTTGGGGAGGAGGAGCAGAAGGGGGAGGGGCTCCTCATACACTGTTGGGGCCAGCCGCCAGGTCAAGTGAGGGTCAACAGACAACCCCAGGGGCCACACCGGTTCCCCTGATGTTGGTCCTCAGTAGGCCCTACCTCCTGTGTTCCCCTGCACTGCCACAGCTGAGTTCATCCCTGCGTGGTACCCTGAGCAGGCCCAGGCAACCTGATCCTGCATCTTCCCCATCCGCCCATGGGAATCCTGTCTGTCCTTTAAGTTCTGTCCTCCACAAGCCTTGCCCCCTGCCCACCAGGTGCGGACTCCCAGAGTCTTCAGGGAGCCTGGTTCAGCCCCACGTCTGGCGAGCCCCGACAGCCCAGCACAGCCTGCACGGGGCGCTCACGGTCTTCTGAGACAATCCATTTCATTTCTGTGCTGTTGAGTTGCTTCTATCATGCTCCCTGGACACCAGAGCACTTGGGGCGGCAAGGCAGCAGGCATAATGAGGGAGGCGGGGCATGCTCAGCCACGCAGACCCCGGTTCACTCCCAGCTCTGCCCCTCCCTGGCTGTGGGGCCGTGACGACCCACAGTGTCAGTTCACAGCTTTATACGATGCAGCATCAAACTGAAAGCTGTTTGTCTGCGGCTCTGGGGACAGACATGGAAGAGTTAAGACAGTCGCGGCCCCTCCGAATTCCATGTGACCCTGGGTTGCTGAGTCTCTGGGGTCTGTGGTGGACCCTCTCCTCCAGACTCATTTTTTGCTGGTGGCTCATGGAAAGTTTGGCTCCTTGAGCACTAGGCCACTCCCTCTGGGGCCTGAGGCATCGCTGACGCTGGTCCTGCCCTGGAAGGGCGTCCAGGGCCGCCTGCCCGCCCGCAGATCCTTGGCCCACACCCCCCGGCTCCGTCTCAGCCTGACTTCCTGCTGCCTGACCTTCTCCCTCAGGACAGAGCAGCAGCCTGCCCCGCTGCAAGCTTCCCTCAATCCCCCCTCCCCCCGCCACACGGAGGCCCCCTCCCAGCACCCTCATCCAGGATCACTTTTTGTTTTGGGGAAAGAAAGCCTTTTCCTGCTAAAGTCCACAGCATCTGTGAGCCGCGTCCTTTCGAGAATTGTAGCTGGTAGGAGCCAAGGCAGACTTGGACCTCCACTGGTCAGAGCCCAGTCCCGGCCCCACCCTTCACTGGTTGTGCAACCCGGCTGAATCTCCTACTTCAGCTCTCTGAACCCCAGTGTCCTCAGATGTAAAATGGGGAGAACAGTTTTCCCCTGGAAGGGGATTAAATGAGATAATATAGATGCTCCATGCACATTTAAAAAAAAATGACCCGAGTGCTTAGTGCAAAACGTAGCAGGTAGAAACTCTGGAGGTGGGATGGTTCTCATGAGCCTGCTGTCCCTTGTACAGATAAAGAAACTGAGGCCCAGCTCCTGCCTCCAACCAGCCCAGGGAGAAGGAGGGTGGGGTCAGTGTGCTTGGAGCCAAAGACCAGCTAAGACGGAGGCCCAGGGCTTGCTGGCACCTTCCTGTTCCATGGCAAGGTGCCGTGGAGGCTGGGGCCTCAGTGTCCCCGTCTGTAAAATGAATAGGTTGGACAGGAACAGTGCACCCCACAGAGGTGCTTCAGGGGAGAGCTGTGGGCAGAGGGGGGCTCTGTGCCCCCACCAGCCCAGTTCAACCATTTGCTAGGGACCATGCCGAGGAGAGCTACAGGGGGGAGCAGCATCTCCTTTGGAGCTGGATTCAGGGATTGGCCCCTCTTGCAGGATGGAGACAATGATTAGGAGCCTTGCTTTGACCTTGACTCTGCTGCCTCAGGGTCAGGGTCTCAGAGAGCTTCGGGGCTTGGGGTGGCAGGAGTCAGAGGCAGGGGAGGGGCCGATGGTAAATATTGATCTAGCTGAGTCAGGGGAGCGGGATGGGGAAGCGGGAAGCCTGGGGTGGGGCTTGCCAATAACTGGATCTTCCAGCTCCCAGTGTGACTGTGAGAACTGGAGAAGGGGGTGCAGGATTCCCAGACTGGGTGCTTACTAAAACTACAGCTGCCTGGAGCCCTGCCCAGGAGGCCTAACATATCCTGTCCTCTGCGGGTGGGGCTTGAAACATCTGTATTTTTAGCAGACTCCCTGGGTGATTCTGCAGCAGCCAGCCCTGTTCTCATATTTGGGGACCACAGGTTCAACCCCATCGCTGTAATAGGAAACTGAGGTCCATAGAGGGAAAGCAACTCATCCAAGGTCACACTGAGAGGCAGTGATGATAACCCCTACCTTTTTCTCGGGAGAAGGGATAGTTCACTGCTAGCTAGCTCCATCCACCCCCAGGTGTGGCCTGGCGCCCAGGAAGGGATGGCAGAGCCAGGCTTCCCAGAGGGAAGTGGCTTCTGAGACCTTGGCAGGCCCAGGTGGAGAAGGAAGGGTGGGGCTCACCTCGGGAGGAAGGACAGGAAAGGGGGCCATTCCCACAGGACTGGATCTGCCCTGCCTTGCCCTGTGCAAATACTCCTAGCACCTGCTGGAGGATGTTTCCTAAAAGATTTACTACAACCCTAGTCTGGGGAAGGCCATTCCATTGCTGGGGGCCCGCCCATGTCCTGGAAGGCACACCCACAGCATGGTAGATTCGAGGCACAGTCGGCCCTCTGACACTTCTGGTCCCCCACAGCCCCCTCCCTAGACCCTTCTCCCCAACCCCTACCTGACCCACTGTTCTAGGCCCCCAGCCTCTGCTCATGCCTGCACTCTTTCCCCGCATCTCAGCCTGTGAGCACCTGCTGGGGCCTCCGCAGAGGCCCCAGCCACTGCCACGCTCCTGCTCGTTCTCTGGCTCCCACCAGTCTGTACCTCCAGGTCCAGCCCCCGTCCCAGACTGTCCTGAGTTCCAGTTCTCTGCATGCCTCTCACTCTCTGGGGTGGCATAGGGCATTCCTGGGGACGGGAGACAAGTCTGGCTCATCTCTGGACCCTCCTCAGAGCCCAGCCTGCCGCAGCTCGCCCCAGCCGATGTTCGGAGCGGCTAAAATTCTGAATCTCACCTCCCTCCCGCCCGCCCCAGGCCATCTTGGGCAGGTTCCTTCACTCTTCCGCACTGCAGTCTCCTTGTTCGGGGAAGGAAGGGAGGAGCAGTGCCCAGTAGACAGGGGAACTGAGGATCAGAGAGCATGTGTAAGGGAGGTCGGAGTGCCTGGCACTTGGTGTCTAGTGTTAGCCGTGGTTATTGCAGAGGGGGTGGAATGCTCAAGCCCCTGCAGCGTCCACTCCTCCTGCGTTCCAGCAGCACATTGGCCGGGGTCTACTCTCTGCAAGAATGGTGATTCTTGCTGTGTGCACGGTGAGCGTAGCGAGACGCTGGTCCCCCTTCCAGGAGGGCACAGTTTTGCAGATGCTTGCTTGGGTGACTTCAACCCAGAGAGCTATGGCGAGGTGGGTGGAGGGGGTTGTAGAGACTCCTAGAGGACCCACCCCAGTGTGTGCTGGGAGAGAGGGGAGGCTTCTCGAAGGAGGAGATACCGGAGCTGCGTCTTGAAGGGTGAGAAGGCATTGCTATGTGCTGAGCAAGAGAATGAGGGGGAGCCAGCCCTCTGCCGCAGGTTTTGGGTTAAATGGGCAGTTAGGAGGTGGAGACTGCAGGTGTAGACAACTGGGGCAGTAGCTGGAAGGGACAGAGGGTCAAAGAAAGGGGGTGTTCCTGAGAATCCCAGTCACTCTTTGCTGGCTGTCAGAGATGGGGAGACACAGACCAGGGCACATGAGGCCCCGGAAGGAGCAGAGCTCTGCAGTCCTGGCTCGGGCTTGCAAGAAGCCTCTTTGCCTCTGAGTCTCATCGCCTTCATCTTCAAAATAGGGCTGCTGTAACTGGGACAAGTGGTGTTGTGAAAGCACTTGGCGAACTATAAAGGGTCCTGCTCTTGGGACATAATAGTGTTTTGGGTGGAGTTGGTATTTTCCGAGAGTTAAAGGATACCGCTTGAGGTCAACAGGGAGCTGCCGGAGCCTAGTTGCTGCTCACGGCCCAGGACCTCCTGTAACCTGCTCCTGTGCTGCCACCTGCTGGCGAGTGTCTGAAATGGCAACCCAAACCCGCAAATCCTCCAACTCCTCAGGTGGGAGATCCCAGGGCGCCGCGTGAATGCGGAGCTGGGAGAAGTCGTGGTGCTCACGTCGGCAGGCTCCAGGGCAAGAGCGCAAATGGAAGTCCCCAGGTCCCTCTGCAACCCACCTCCTGGCTCTTTTCAGCCTTGGCCTCTGCTCTCACCGTGATGGTCCTCATGTGTGTGCAAGGGGTGCATCCCTCCTGGTCACCATGCACACCAACAGTGAGCATAGACTCAGGGAGTGGCTGGTGCAGGAATTCTGGAGTCCTGGACGCCCTGAGCATGGTCTAGAGGAGACTGTGGGCCCCAGAAGGCACAGCCCCTTGGCCTTGTGGAATCCAGGCTGCTTACGTGGGGGCGTGGCTTAGAGTTACCGACTTGTCTGGTTTGCCCAGGCCTGTCCTGGGTCTAGCAATGAAAGACCTATGCTGGCAGACAGTTGGGCACTGTGTTGTGGCCCAAGGAAGACCAAAGCCTCTACCTCACCACCCTGGCTCAGCCTGAGCAGCTTGGGCTCAGAGAACCAAACTGGCCTCTAATGCCCTGGAGGCCTCCCTTGGGCCAGTGGAGCCTCTCCTGCCATCCCTCTGTATAGCCCCAAGGCCACCGCCCCAGGCACTAGGTCCACAGATAGTCTGGGGGTGAAGAGACCCTGCCTCCCCTTGCCCCGTTCTCCAAACCAGATTCCTGGGGCTCTGAGGCCTGGGGGCTCGTCTGTGAGGTTGGGTGTAGAGAAGAGAATGGATGGGGAGGGACTTCTTCTGGAACAGCCTCCTCATTATACAAGGAAACCTGGAGAAGAGCTTTGCCCCAGGCCCCTGACCGAGACTTTGCTGTTGGCTATTTGTGGCAACCCATGTCCACCCCTCGCTCTTGTTAAGGGCACCCATATGCCTGAGAGGAAGCCAGCCCCATCCCTGGCTCCACAGCTGGGGCACATGGTCCAGGCCTAATCCCACAGTGACTGGCTCAGCCTTGAGCATGTGACCAACTTGGTCCAATCCGAGTGAAGACCTGGGCTTTTCTGTTGCACTGTGGGGAGCTCTGGAACAGGAAAGAAACCAGCCTAACCTCCCAGCGTGCGCACTTGACCGAGACAGGCACACAGCGAGTGCACAGAAGTTTGTAGCTATTTATTGCACTGAAAACACCAAGAATAAAACAGACACCCCTTCTTCCCTCCCTCCCCGCCCCATAGCAGAAAATTTGAGCAGTGGTCATTCAAGTTCACAGCCATATGTTAAAAAAAAAAAAAAAAAAAAGAACTGAAACAAACCCCCAAACAGTTAGTAACAAAGAAACCAGCACGGGGAGTCTGGCAAACACATCCCCCCAAAGGGTCTCCCCTTGACGGAAGACAGGAGGCCGTGGGTGAGGACTAGTGCCACGGTGGGCACAACTCCGGGAGCAGACTTTCCTGTAAACGCATTTGCATGCTGGAGCTGAGGTCTTGTCTTAGGTGGGGATTTTTTGCATCTACGGGATGTTTTGGAGGAGCACAGAGTCTGGCTGTCTGGTGGGGCGGGCTCTGGGTGGTGGTTTCTGCCAGTCTCCCCGGCCTGCTGTCTCAGAATCACGCCGGTGCCCTGGGGTCCACACCAGCTGGCTGCCCACCCACAAGCGTGGCCTTCACAGTGGGGCCATCTCAGCTTGGGGTAGGGACCTACCTCCCCTTCTCTGGCACTTAGAGAGGGACACAGTGGACGGGAGGTGTGTCAGCCCATGAAAAGCAGGACCTTGGTGTCCCTCACCTCAGTTTCCTCTGGCGGAGAAACCAAGGGCCAGAGTGGGGAAGAGACTTCCCCGAGGTCACACAGCAAGTCTGGTTAGAGCTGGGAATGCAATCCTAATAACCCCCAAACCAGGCTCTTTCCCCTGCAGCCCACTGCTGATAAGCAGTTGACAGGCACCAAAGAGAGGAATAAGGGGCAGGCGGGGCCGGGGTGGGGGTGGGGACTGGCCAGGCCCAGAATGGAACAGGAGTCCAGCCGGTGACTAACTCTGTCAGTTCTCACAGGTGCATATGGCTTCACCTCAACATCCTGCTTGATTCCCCATCGGTCCTGCAACATAGGCTGGGCAGGAAAGTTTAACCCCTTTAACTGATGGGGAAACTGAGGCTAAAGATGGGACGGACTTTGCCTTGGTATTTGCAGCATCCCCTGGTGAAGGACACACTTTCACCTTTGGCTCAGGGGTGGTTAGGGGACCTGGCAGCTCACAAGGGAGGCAGGTGGTTTTGCTGCTGGGATGCTGGGATCACTGGGCCTTACTGGGAAGCCCTTTGGGCCTGGGCCAGACCAAGTGTCCCCGCCCAGGGCCTCGGCAGCAGGGTCTCTGCCAAGGATAGAGGCCAGTGATCGACCAGTTTGGAGACCAGGAGGCCTGGGCAGCCTCGTTCCTGGCCTGCAGCCCCCGCCCGGCCTGCCTCACCTGTTCCGGGGGCAGCAGCAGCTGAGAAAAGGGCCCAGCAGACAGCTCATGATCAGGGAAAACTCAGAAAGTCCTGGATCAAACATCCCCATCAGCCCTGCTCCACCCAACACCCAGGACTCGCAGAGGTTTGGGGGAACCAGAGGCTCCTCCAAATCCCTGGGGATGTGGCTTTTCCTCCCCTAAAATCCTCCAGAGGGGACAGTATCTCATGCTGGCAAAACACGGCCACACAGAGGCCAAAAGCACAGAGAGGCAGCAACATAATTCCGAGTCGGACACTGAGAATACAACCTCTATTGGTTTTTTTTTTGTCCAAAACATGTAGATTGGTTTTGCTGAGTGTTTTTTCTTCTTTTCTTTTTTTTTTTTCAACATACTTACTGCATATAAAGTCATGCAAAGAAAACAGTGCAGACAGTAGGTCCTGGTGGATGTGCTGAGGCATTCCACATCTGAGTCAATCCCAGGAGAAGAGGGACAGAGAAAGGAAAAGAAAGAGAGAGAGAGATGCGAACCCAGGATGCAGGACGAGGTGTGGAGAGCAGGAATTCCAGTGCTCTGCTTGGACCAGCAGATGCCGAGGGGCGAGGCAATGAAGACAAACGCTGTGAACCCCCCAGAGATGGGTGGGGGACACTGCGGTGGCACACAGATGGGGTCAGATGAAATCCTGGGAAGCATGGTCGTAAGGACCCCAGTTTGGGAGGCAAGCAAAGAGAAGTCCACATATTTCCATCCCAACAACCTCCCCACTCTCTCTGCCCTGATTTGCTGTTTCTTATCAGCACTAACATCTGATGCGTCTACAGTCCTGAAAGGATCCTTGGGACCAAAATGTCAGAGAGGCCCTTCCCCCGGGGCTGAGTCCACCTCGGCCCCAGATAACCACAGGTGACAAAGTCCATCTCAGAGATGACATGAAAAAAAGAAGAAAAAAAAAAAGACCTAGAACAGAAAAAAACTACCCTTCATCCCTCTTCCCACCTCTCTTCCCAGTCCAACCCAATCCTCCTCACAATAATTGGAGAGGTGGAGTTATTACAGAAATATCCATTAATGCGAAATCCATTTACGAAACACACAGAAGTTTGGCTATAAAAAGGCATGCGGTCCAAGTAGAAGTGATACCTAAATGTTGCTTTCTTTTGCCCCCAAAAAGCAATCAGATTCTCTCCCTTAGATCTGACGAAGCTGGAATTCTCCGGGCCTGATGGAAGGGCGGAATGGGCGGTTAATGTTGGAGGTAAACATCAGCAGAAGGCAGAAGGAAGGAAGTGGGGGCACCCTGAGAGGACCCCGCTCCCCACGCCGAGGGAGAAGGGGGAGTCAGGGACCAGGAGGGCAGGACGGGCCCGGGAGAAGAGTCAGGGAGGCAGTTCGAGGCAGGGGGCTCCTCGCATCTGCTCCTCTCTCACCCTCTCCTGCAGGGGAGGCTGGCTCAGGGGATTGGGGATCCACTTGCCCTTCCCCAGGGGGCCCCCGAAGAGGAGCGAGAGGGACAGGCGATGCCACATTCCTCCTGACTCTGCCCCTCCTTCTCCCCAGCCCCTGGGTGAACGCACTGCTGGGCATTCTGGCTTACGGCCAAGGCAGGACCAGGCCAATGATAGCCGGGTGGGGGTGTCCTCGGGGCCAGCACCCAGGGCACCCAGGCCTGAGGAAGCCCCGCCCTGGCAGGGGACAGAGAGCCAGAGTGGCACGTGGGGGCAGGGAGAGGCGGCCGTTTGCTCTGAAGTCGTGATGGCTTTTGCCAACAGACAGGTTTTCTCGACGTAGGTATGAAAGAAGGTGACAATGACGGGGTGACGTGATGGGGGGAATTCCAGCAAAATCCAAGTGAGAGAACCAGCAGCCACATTCCATGGATGAAGAGTGGATCTCTCTAGCCTGCTCCTTCAACTGTAAGACACAGTACATGCAGTGGGTAACACGGGTGCTTCCGAGGGTGCCATAGTGCCCCCCGCCCCCGCCCCACAATCACCTGCCCCACCTCCTTAGCCGGATTCAAGCTGCCTCCTGCGGGTCCTGCCCAGCTATTCCCCTGCGACCTGCAGGCCAGGTCCCCTCCCTACGGTCCTGCCCCCAACCCCACTCCCTTCCAGCATCCAGGTTCCCAAACATGCACCCTCTCCAGACCGACACCACGCCATTCCTTTAGATTGTCCTGAACAGAGGACGGCAGGAAGGAGGGGCGCTTACTGGGGCAAGACGGAGGGTGCCCCAGATCTGTGGAAGTGGACGATCTGCCATTTGCCGTCCCTGCGGTGCCAGACGCGGGTCTCCTCTGACTGGGCCGTGCGGGGGATGCCGCCCGCGTCCAGGTACTGCGTGATGCGGATGTAGGCGATGCAGGCTGACTCGTCGCCCATCAGGTGGATGTGGGGATTCAGGATGGTGGTGTGCACAGGCTTGCTGTTCCGGGACCACACTGGAGGTGGGGACGGGAGGGAGCAGAGGAGATGCACCTGGGGGACTTCCTGCCTCACTTCCTTTACTTCCCCAACTCCCAGCGACCCTCTCGGAAGAGGCATCTCTGCCTGCCTCATTTCCAGAGGAGGGGTCTCTGTGACAGGGCTCAGCTACCTGGGAGTCAAGGCAGAATTTCCAGATGACTAGATGGTATCACAGCTTGGACACAATGGATTTTAGGCATGCCTAATTCTTCAAATGCAGAGGAATGGAATTTGAGAATCATAGTATCTCAGACACAGAAATATAGGGCTAAGATGATTATAGAATCAAATGAGCTTAGACCAGAGTCTCAAACTCAGATCCCTACAGAGGCCAGACAAGTACATAAACGAGGAGGCTGAGCTGGGTATAGATGCTAAATGACCCTTGCTTCTGGGTCAGGGAGACAATAGGGAGTGGTGGAGACTGTGGTAATAGCATACCTTGTCCCATCTACAGAGGGCTCCCTAAACACAGCTTTCCTGGTGGTTGCTGTATGAGTAAGTGGGACTCGTTGCCACACCTTCTGATTTTTCAAGAGAATCTAGAAATCTGCATTTTTATGTGAAAATGCCTCATTTTTAATTATTGGCATCTAATTCAAATGTAAAACATCATGCAGGCCGCATGAAACATGTGAAGTCCAGATATGGCCTCATATTTGCCACTTGTACTCTTAACACATAGAATTACAGAAACTGGGGGAATCTTAAAATTGTTGAATCTTAGAACCTTGGAATTGTAAGGATGGTATTGAGGTCATGGAATATTCCAGAGTTAGGGTGAAATGCATAGTCTTGTAATCATGACAGAACTGACAGAAGTACCTGAAACCAGCTCTCCCTATGTGAAATGTGAGCCACCATTATTATTAATATTATTATCATTAATTATTTTGGTTCTAGGAACTCTCATTTTTTCAGCAAGATAGAAAACAAAAGCACAGAAAGACAATGACCCAGGGAGGGGCTGGACAGGGGTCACTAGGATCTTGGGCTTCAGAGGAATCCTCACGGCTCCCCTTAGAGTAGACCAAATGCAGGTCTGAATCCCGTAGCGAGCTGACTTAAAATACAGACTGCCCATCCCCACCCTTGGAGAGGCCAGTTCAGGAATTTGTAATATTAATAAGCCCCCTTTCCCCACCCTGCCCTCTGATTCTGATGCCCAGCCAGGTTTGTGAGCCACGGATTTCCTGAAAAATGTAAAATGCCTTTTTTTCAGGACTGCAGAAAGCATCCAGTAGTACCCATGCCTTAATATAATCACATTAGACCCAGGCTTTGGGTAAAGGGCCAAAATCTCTGAGTCTGATTTATGTAGACTAAGACTTCTACACTCTGGGCTCTCAGACAGAGAGAATGTAGACCTTTTTGTGTCATAGGCTTGGGAGTGACCTCAGGGGTCAGAGATCATCCAATGGCCCTCCTACAAAATGCAAGGAGGCCACCGCGAGCATCCTCAGCAGCATCCAGAGTCTGAGGCACTCAAGACCGTCTAGTTCAATGCATCCATTTAGCAGATCTGGAAACTGAGGCCCAGAGAAGCAATCTGACTTGTCCCAAGCTGAGCTAGTTTCTGAAAGAAACACAGTAGAACCCAAATGAAGTCAGTCTCCAGGGGGGACTGAATTAGGACAATCTAGAACAATCCTGGAAGGGACAAACAGAGCTTGGCATTGTTAGGGCCCTGGGCCTTGCTGCTGTTGGGGAGGGCTGGAGTCCTGAGGGGCATTTGTAAAGAAATGACCACCCTAATGTGGGGTCTCTTGAGTGGACTCTATGTTTCCAACATCCACCCTCGTGGATTGCTTGGGAGAAATGGCCGGGTCCTCCAGCAGGAGAAAGCAGGCAGGAGGGTGGGACTTGGCCAGACTAGGCAGTTACCCTGGGTCTTGTTCTCGTGGGTCCTTTGATGTGACCAGATGTTCAAGCTCAGAGTCCAGGGGGCCGGTGTCATGATGGGGCCACTGCCTGGACGCAGGCCAAGGGCTGGCTTGGCTTTTCTCTCTGTCTCCCTTTTGCCATCCCCGAGCCTTTAGAGCCAGCCCTCCTGGTCTCTGCTCTGCTCTGTGGGGACTGAGGGGTCCACTCTGGGGAACCAGTGCCCCCAGAGGACAGACCAGTTTAGAGGGGGCCGCAGCGATCAGCCAGGGAGCTCCAGGGTGATGGGGACCCTTGGGTCCATCCATCTCTCTTCACATGAGAATTCAACCTCCATTGCTAGCCATGGAGAATCAGAGTTTGATTTGTCAATGGAAAAAGCAACTTCCTTCTTCACAGCTTTTTGGGCTGCTCTTGAGCCCCTGTGCTCTCTAAGATTCGGTCAGATTGGGTGCAGGCAGGAGAGGAGTACCCAGCTGGGGGCCACGAATGTGCAGATGGGGAGCGGCACAGGGAAGGGAAGGGGCGCTGGAGTGAGTCAGGACCAGGCTCTGCCACCGACTTCCTGGGTTCCTTTGAACAAGTCACTTCCCCTCTCTGGGCCTCAGTTTCCCCTTCTGTGTAATGAAGACTTTGACTAGATCCCACTTCAGTCACTTAAAAACCGCCTTTATTTTTACCATCTACAAGTGCCACCTGTACCTACTTCATTAAAATATTCCCTTAAATTGATGCAGTTTATTAATTTATCCAAATTTATTTTAAAAGAAAACTTTCTAGCACCATGATTAATGAACAACCAGTGTCACAGAATACAGTTTTAATAATGAGTCCAGTGAAACTGAAATAAAGCTACGTAATCCTAGCTCCATGCTCTTGTCTGCGAGGGGTCTGAGCCTGAGACTGCCCATTCTCTGACCAAGAGGGGACTTCGAAAGTGCTCAAGAGGTGTTAAGGACAGGCTAGCACCCAACTGAGCCTTCCCTTTGACGGAGCCAGACCTAGTGAAAGAGAATTCAGAAAGGGACCAACTTGCTCCCTGTGTGAACCAACGCTGTTTCAAGTGGTGCCCACAAGCACCAGAAATCATCTTGTGCAGCCTCAGTGGCACATGCCTTCCCTTTGGGGGACCCTGGACATGCCACCCCTCGGGGCCTTCCTCCGGGTCCTGAGCTGCATGATTCTAACCCGTGTGTGCTTTGGTTGGTCCCTGTTTGACCCCCGGCCAAGATGAGACACAGACACAGGCCGAAAGCACCCCAGGTCAGGCCCAGCCTCGGCCCCCTGACAGCCCCTGCTTGCAAAGCTGCCAGGGTCTCTCCTGCAGAGGAGAGACCCAAAGGACAGACACGCAGACAGGACCTAGACAAACAGACAGGGGCACAGCAGTGTGAGCTCGGGTCCTCTCCTCTTCCCCAGACTGCCCGCCCGCAGGGGGCACTTGCATAACGACTCACGAGCCAGCTTGTGACCAGCTGGGCAACTGGGGTGGCCCCAGGCATTAAGATGACTGTGACTTGGGTGTGTGGCCCCGTAGGAAGGCCCTCTTATTTGTAAAATGGTAATAAAGGCCCTCCCACGGTCATGGGCAGGAGAGGGCTGGGAGGACTTGTCACATTCATCCCAGGTCCCCATGCCCAGTGACAGGAGACAGCTGGCAGTCGGAGGGGCCAGGGTTAGGAGAGGGAACTAAGATGGTACCCACCCCTGTCCACATGGGATCTTCCTCTTCTCTGGCTCCTGAGCCACCCCGGGGGCCCTGCCCGTCACCCTGCTGTGCCATCTGGCAGGACATGGAACCAGAGCAGACAACAGGCACCCCAGAGAGAAGGGATTGCTCACGGTTTTCAAAATAGAATCGATGGAAGTCCAGGCCCTCGACCAGGTTCCCCAGAGCCTCGGGTTCAAATGCCGTCATCCCAGGGTCACACATCTTCCTAGGGGGAGGAAGTCAGAGGAAAGAGGGGCTGGGGTGGCCTCTCGGGACTACTCTCTAATTCCGGGGGCCTGGGCCCCGGGAGGGGGAGCCTGTGAAATCGGAGCAATTGCACCCACCTCACGGGATCAGTGAGGTTGGCGGATGGGAAGGGCTTGCAGCTGAACAGTATGGGGCATTGCTGATGGGTTGGTGCCACTGAGAACTGGGAAACCTGAGTGGGAGTCTGACTCTGCCACCTACTGGTTATGAGACCGCAGCAAGGGGCTTAACCTCCCTAAGCAAGAGCACCATGAACAGTGGTGCAGAGCTGTGCACTGCGCTAAGGCGCCAGAGGGAATAATCCAGCCTGGACGCTACTCTCCAAATCACACCCCCTGCCCAGCACAGCAGATCCAGAGGGGCTTTTCCTAATTTGTCTTCTTGTGGGGGTGACTTCTGCTTGCCAAGCAGCTATGTCCCTGGAGGGGAGCATTTTGCTACTTTAAACAAAGGTGCCCTATGGTCAGCAGCAACCCTCACGGTGAGCCTCAGTTTCTTCTTCTGTAAGACGAAATTCCTTGAAGTAATGCCTGGGAGGAAGGGACACAGAGCGTGTCGAGGAGGCCCTCAGCTGTATCTTTTCAGCTCCGTGCTCCCTTCCAGGTCTCAGTCTTCTGAGACCCTGACAGCCAGGTGGGAGAAGGAAAAAATTGTCGCCCCCATCCCCAGGTCTCTGGGATCTTCTGTGGCACAGCATGGACCCCTGTGGACAATGACAATGAAGCCAGGGACAGGAGATGCCCCAGGACAAGCAAAGATCCCAACCTGAGGAAGAACTGGAGACACCGGGCATCAGGCCCAGCATCATCCAAGCCGGATACCATGGGATGTGCTGGGCGCTCCACCCCTGCTCTGCCCTGACTTCCTGTCCGTGTGACCCCAGACGACTCACTTCTCCATTCAGGACCTCAGATTCTCCAGATGGACTAGGCAGAGTCTGGGGGGCTGTGCTCAGACCATACAGGATGCTCAGGACCCTTCTAGCCCCAGAATCCCTCAAGGCTGGGGGTCTGAGCTCTGAGTGTCCAGGAGAGGGAGCACCCCCACTGGAGAAGCCCCTCTCCAGGAGGTCTCTGGGTGTCCCTGCCTACGAAGGGACTCAGAAACCATCTGTTCCAACGCCATTGTACATGTGGGGAAACCGAGGCTCAGTGAGACAAAGGGGCTTATCCAGGGGAGGGTCAGACTCAGGGCACCACGGGCCCCAGAGGTCATGGCAAGGAGTCAGAACATATAGCAGGCTGCAGATGCTAGAGGAGGTAACATCCCAGAGGTGGGAGGGGGTCCCCAGGAAGGGCACTGTGGGGTGTGGAGTCCACAGGAGCCACCTCCCTTTCTCTCCCTCCCTCGCTGTGTCCTTCCAAAGCCAGTCTCGGGCTCTCCCATGGCTGACGTGACTCCTTCTAGGACCAGCTGCAAGACCTGTTCAATAGCGCATTCCCATGCTTTTATGCAACACCCAGGTGCACATATGCACACACACCTGGGCACACCCCTTGTGCACACAGTCACAAATGTGCACGCGTGGACAAGTGTATGCACACATGCATATGCATGCAGCCTCGGTCTCACACTTGCACCTCCCAAGGTCCTTGTTCCTCCAGAGACACCAGTAGATTGCTGGAGCATTGCCACCCCTGCAGAAACCCTCCCACAAGTAGAATGCACCTGGCCTGCCAAGTCCTAGGAGACACCCTGCAGCTCCTGGGCACAGCGGAAACCGGGAACAGGCTGCCCAAGGGGCAAACTCCGGCCAGGTTGTTCCCACCTCACCTAAACCCAACAGGCAAGGCTCATTCAGCCTTAGTCGGCAGCTTTTGTCCACCAAAAGGCATTGTGGGGTCTCGAGGCCCAGCCTTGTCAGCCCTGGCCAAGACGTTGTGGCCTCAGCCCAGAATTGGCACTCTCCCTGGGGCCAACTGAGGGTGGGCTGAGGGCCTGCTTCCCGGCCAGACCGCGAAGGGATGGGTGGCCACCAGGGGGCGCTCCAGCTCAGCCTGCGCACACCCAGTCGCCCCCAACGGCTGGTCCAGGGATGTGGGGACGGCTCACACCGCTGTTTCATTTTATGTTCTTTTGTGCAGCTGCCTTATTCCCCAGAGGAGTCGAATTTCCGCCTTGAGGTTCTTTTGTTCAACCCCGCTCACTGGAGGTACACACCCTAAGGATTCCTGTCCCCCACCACCCGTCGGAGGTCAGAGGTCCAAGGGAGGTCCAGCGTGAGGACCCAGGCCCACACGGCAGGGCTGAGGGCCTGCTTCCCTCCCTTCTTCCCAGCTCATCTCCTAGGAGCCCCATCCTGTGGTGGAGCCCACCCCCTCTTTCTGGGGGACGCATAGGAGTTTGTTGCCGTTCCTCCTGGGGAACAGCACGTGAGGAGGATGGAGCAGGACCGAGATAGACAGAGGTGCTGTCAACAGAGAGCTTAATCAAAGCAGAGTCCGGATGCAGAGCAGAAGCACGAGTGCAGTCTGATTCACAGCACATGCAGAGCGAGTGAATGAGGGTCAGAGACGTGGACCGCCGAGGTTAGCCTTCAGCCCCACTGGACAACCACCTAGGCGGGACATGCAGAAGGGGCCCGGCGACTCACGTGTAGGACTCAAAATCTCCATTGCTTATGGCTTCAATCAGTTGCTCTGTCACTTTTATAATTTCCTGTTTCCGCACTGTAGGCAGGAGGGGACACAGAGAAATAACAGGAATAGTAACAGTGATGGAGAACCAGCTACCGTTTCCTGAGTCCTCATCACGTGCCGGACCCTGTGCGGGACCCGAGGGCCTCATCTGTATCGTCTCATTTGTCCTCACATTGTCCCCGGGAGGTGGTATCTTTACTCCCATTTCAGAAGAAGAAACTGAGGCCCAGAGGGATGGGAAAGGTGTGTGAACTCCCTTAACTACAAGGGGCAGAGCTAGTGTCTCAGTCGGCAGCCTTTCCTCCAAAAAACATGCCTAGTGGATACTCTGACTCTAGGCCTGATTTGAACCCAAGTCTTGATTCCAAAATATGCTTCCCTATCACCTTGCTTTGCCACCCGAACCAAAATAGGATCAACTGTGGCGGTTGTCACTAGCAGCCATGAGCCAGGGGCTCCCCCGTGGCCCAAACTGGGGCCACCAAGGAAGGTCTTAGGGCTCACTCATCCCTTAGGTCTGGGTGAGCTTTCTGCTCCATTTGGGTATGTGTAGAAATCAGGCACTGAGCTGTTCCAGAACTTTCTAGGGGCAATGAATCCTAGTTATGGAGGCTCGTCCTCCCCTGTCCGCCACTGAAACACCATGAACAGCCGGTCTTTCCCGTAGAGAGTGAGATATCAGTTTTCTTATTAGACGCGTGATGTCCTGAGCCCCAGTTTTCCTCTCTGTAATGATGACATTATCACCTCTCATTCATTCAGTGCTGAACATGTCATGGAAAGAACCCAGACTTCGGTACCAGACAGACATCACCTAAATTCCAGCCCAGGTCCTTCCAAGCTGTGCAGCCATGGACCACAAGGTGTTTCCTGGGCTGTCAGATGGAGATCTCTCAGGGCACGAGATGCTGTGCACGAAGCCCTTGGACCAAAGCCTGGCACATGGTGGGTACACATTGTAAGTGCCATCTCCTGCATCCTCCCACACAGTTGCCCCCTGCGCTCCGGACAGACACCCTGGGAGGTAAGCAGGGCCAGTTTCCCCCGTCTGACACATCCTAAATGATAAAGGAATTTGAGTCTGAGTCAGACCCTCTTCCCCTCCACCCCCAGGCTCAAGCTTAGCTTCAAACCTGGTTGGCTCATTGGCTAGGGAGCAGCCTCAGATGATGTCAATGGACACGTTGCCCATTTCCTAGTCTAGGGTGGGGGAGACAGACCACGCCTGGCTGAGGCCCTATCCTGGCCCCTTTACTCACCACTCCCTGTGCCACCCCACCCGGTCTCATGCCAGGGTGCTGACTGCAGGCCCAGAGGACACAGAATCACAGAACATCCAGGATGGAAGAACCCTTGGAGACCGGGACTCAGCCTCCTTATCAAATTACTGGGGAAACTGAGGCCCAGTAGGGGGTTGTGACTCGCCCGAGGACACAGAACATATGGGGTACAGAGTTTGGCTCCCAGCCCAGGGCCTTTTCCACAGGATCCCTGCAACCAACATGCTCCCAGACGTGCTGGGCCCGTGTGCTTGTCTCTTCCCCAGCTCAGAGATGAGCTCCCTGTTGGCAGGGCCGTGGCTGACCTTGGCTGGCTGGACCCCTGGAGCCCAGAACAGGCCTGGCACCCAGGCACTCAGGACTGAATGAGTGAGTGGGCCGGGCCTTGTGCTGTGTGTGTAACCTGCAGAATCTTGGAGCCTCACGGCACAACAGCAGGTGATCATCACTTCCGCGTCAGAGATGAGCAAACGGAAGGTGAAGGGTTGAATAGTCTGCCCTGGCCGAGAAACCGCCCCAACCAGTGTTTGCAGCCCCGAAGCCCACCACTCTCCCCCACCACACACCGTGCAGGGTGGGACCCATGCCCCGTACAGCTCTTGGCACATGGTGGGTGCTCAGCAGACATGGCAATTATCCTCTACAATGTCAGTCACCACATTGAACGACCAATTCTTTCTCTCCTGGCTCCACTAAGAATCACCAGGGCTGGGAATGAGCCCATCCTAGACCACGAGCTCTGCCGGGCCACTCAGGGGTTGTCACCCCTCTCTCTCTGGGGTCTTGCCTAGGACTGGGGCAGAGGCAGCATGAACGAATGAATGATTATATGGCACCAACCAGGGACTGGAGCTCTGTCTTTGCCCTGTTCCTTGGAATTGCCCAAGTGGCCTGGTGGCCTCTGTCTCTAAGAAAAAAAGAAAATAAGAGAACCCAGCATCCTGCTCAACTCTGCCCTCTGGAAGCTGGAGACCGAGGATGGGAGGAACCCACCCCTGCCAGGGGACACCTCATTCCAGTGCTCCCACCTGGGATCAGCATGACGGCCCAGAGCGAGTCCACCTGCTCATGGCGGGCCTTGGGACCTGTGCTACCTCCCTGGCCTTCTCTGCATGGCCTTTAAGAACCCTTCCAGCTTGAAATTCCAGGAGTCTGTCTCCTGTGGGCTGCTTCTCACTGCATCTCAGAGAGGCTAGCAAAGCGACAAGGGCCTAGATTCTCTAGCCAGGCTGCCTGAGATTGGCTCCTGGCTCTGCTATTTAATAACTGTGTGACCTTGGGCAAGGTACTGCCCCATGACTCGGTTTCCCCATATGTATAATGGAGCTACTAATAGTATTTACCTCATAGGGTGGTTCTGAGGATTAAGTGAGTTAAGAATATATCAATAGAAATAGCTAAGACATATATGGTCCTCAGTAAGAACCAGCCCGTTCCAAGCTCTTTATAGCAACTCGTTTATGTAAATAATGATGCATTATGTAAAGCATTTAGAGCAGTTCCGAGTGCTCCCTAAATAAGGGCTGTGATTATTATCATCGGCAAATCTCTGAACGGGAAGTTCCTCCTGAGAACAGCCTCTGACCTCCAGCTCAGGCAGGGATGCTCCCAGCAGCTGAAGATGTGACTGTTCGGTCCGGGTTGGAACTTTGGGGCCTGCAGCCTGCTGGGCAACCGACTGCACGGTCGGACAGCTCTCACCATTTGCCCCTGCCTCCTTTCAAGTTGAAATCTGTCTGCCTGAACGCTCCTAGTTATGATTCTGGTTCCCTTTCTGCCATCTGGGCCCAGCAATGAGAGCTCTGCTCTGCAAATGTCTTTGACGGCTCCCATTTTACATTAATAGTGCATACAAATTTTGCATTCTATTCCAAATGTTTCCCTGTCTGCATGCCCCCCCACCCCTCACTCTTCTCTTCTCAGGCTGAAGGCCTCCAGGGTGTGGTTTGCAGGATCTGACTCAAGCTGACCATCACTCTCCAAGGGTCCTTGAGCTGCCTGGATGCCTCCCAGAGTGTGAGCACACAATCCCACACACCTCCATTAACGCAGCCTGAGACACTGCCTAACTTGTCTGTGCCACTCAGGACACTGAGTTTGCCAACAGTCAAAGCCTAGTGGGCAGGACTCTCCCCAGCTACATTCTCTGGGATGGAAGATCTGAGAGTTGGTGCTCCTTCAGTCTGAGAAATTCACTCTGGTCCTGGGCCCCTCGCAGGCCCACAGCAGCCCCATTGCTGTGCGAGGGGTTCATCCAGTGGCTGCTCAGTAGCAACCTCTGGCATTTCCCATCTGCCAGGTGCTCACCCAGACAATCTAGGGGTGCTCCTCTACAGATGGGAAAGCTGAGGCCCCAGAGAGGTTCAGGTACTCTCTCAAGGTCACACAGCAGGACAAGGCTGACGTGGGGGCAGCATTCCTGACTGATATTTCCAGAATGCCTCTGCCGAGATTCTGAGGCAGCTCCTTGGGCTGGAGAGGAAATTAATTTTTCATGTAGCTGACCGGGAGGAGGCAGGGGGGCGGGGAGGAAGCCTGGCAGAGTCCAGTGAAGCTTGGAGGGCGAGAGCCCTGTGCATTAAGCCCGGGGTGCTCTGAAATATTAATGACCCTTTCTTTGCTCAGGGGAAAATGTTCCCAGGAGGATGACATGTCTAATTAACTTTAACGTTAGGTCAGAATCCACCCCACCAGCTGCTATTCTCACTTAGTAAGAAGACTTAACAAATTAACACCAGAAAATGGTTCTCTGGAAACTTTGTCTGAGCCCTGGAGAAGCTGGGGGAGGCACGGGGCTCTTCTCTCCTGCCACATATGGGAGAAGCTCCTGGCTGAGTCAGCACATCTTCCATCAGACATGACCTTTTACATGGGGGGAAACTGAGGCAGGGAACACGGTCCCCGTTCTGCCGTTAATAAAGCGGATGTGCCCTTTCTCCTCTCTGGGCCTCAGATTTTCCTCTGTAAAAGGAGCATAGGTGAACTAAAATCCAAAACTTCACAAGTTTTCCCATCCCTCGAGATCTCTCTAGAGGGTAAAGATTGTAAATGTGGGGCCCAGAGCCATCACCCAGGTGGAAAATGTCTTTGACGGCTCCCATTTTACATTAATAGTGCATACAAATTTTGCATTCTATTCCAAATATTTCCCTGTCTGCTTAACATATAAATATTTGCCTTAAAATAATCTTTGAGTAAAATTGATGCTCCAAGAAAATGTCATGTGGCTTCCTGTCATTCAACCCCAAGCTCCAATTTAAAAAGAAGAAAATAAGATTTATTAAAGAGTTACCATGTGCAAACACTGTGTAAGCACTTAACACGCAGCTTCTCATTTCATCTACACAGCAATCGTCTGAAGTCGGTACTGTTATCATTGCCTCTTTATTGTTAAGGAAGCTGAGGCTGAGAGAGGTTGAGTAAGTTGTCCAAGGTCACCCAGCAAAATGGCTTCTAGTGAAGAAGCACAGAGCCAGCTCACCTCCACGGTCCCTGTCTGCTCTGAGACCAGGAGTATGAGGCCACAACAAGTCTCCTCAAATCCCAGTCTTACCATTGGGACAGCGAGCCTCTGATATGGGGACTATCTTAGAAATGCCAGGTCTCAGTTCACCACAGACCCATGGAATCGAAATCCACAGAGCCAGGGCCAGGAATGTGGTTAGAAAATCATACTTGAGGGACTTAGAATGTTGACCTGATGCTAACAGGGAATTCTTCTTCAAGACAATGTATTTTAAAGCTTGTCACTCGTGCCATCGCAGAAGAGAGACAAGGCCCTAGTGCCAGGCTATGGTGATAGTGACCACCAACCCCCCCCCAAGCCGGGAAGGACCAGAGAGAGACACACACAGGGTGGGGCCCATCGTCCAGGGCATCCTGGCAGAGTCAGGAGGCAGCCAGGGTGCTCAGTGTGTCAAAACGGCCTTAGAGCCTGGATGGCAATCTCGTGGAAATATTTACTACATAATAAAATGCTCTTTTCCCATCTTTGTATTCTTTTAGAGGCAAATTACCCAAGCTTCTGAGAAATATCTAAACTGGTACAGCTGAGCTCTCTCCAGGTCGACAGGGTCTTTGTAGGCTCCCAGGCGTCTCGGACACACGCCTGAGTATGGGAACCCCTGCGCTCTCCGGTCTCCCTGTCCTGGGTGCAGGCAGAACAGCAGAACGTCGCCAACTCATCCAAGGACTTAGTGTCCCCTCAGCAGACGTCAGCGCTGCGTCCTGCCTCCTCCAAGCTCCACACATGTTTTCCACTCACCGAGGCCTCCGGGGTGGTGGTTCCGGGCCAGGCCCTGGAGCCACGCTGCCTTGGTTCAAATTCTAACTACGCTTACAGGTTATGCGACCTGGGGCCAGTTTGCGCTTCTGTTTCCTAGGCTGGAGAATGGGGTTAACCTCTGCACCCACCTCAGAGGGTTGTTGTGAAGCTCAGGGGAATATAAAGCCCTTGGAACAGTCTAGCACATAGCAAGCATTCCATAAAAGGCAGCTGGGATTCCTATTACTGTCCTTGTTATTTCCTCTGTTCCTGTCTGATCACAGTTACCTGGGGGTTTGCCCCCTCGTCCACCCGAGAGTTTTTGAGGACTGCTTGCCACTGCCTACTGTGGCCCCTGCATTTTGGGGTGCTCTTAGGCCGCGTTCCCCATACTCTAGTCAATTGAACTTCCTGAATTTTTGCTTTCTCTTCCTTTACCATTACTACTTCCTGTTTCAAAAATCAACTCACTTAAAAAAATTCAAAAACACTTCAAAAGGAAAATCTATACCACTAACTGTACATATATGACTTGAGTATGTTAAATCAATTTTTTCTGATATGTATTGAAGTAAATACATAACCTCTAAAATACAAAACGTCCACCTGTATACCTCTAGGGGGCTGAGTACCCCACCCGAGAAACAGCGCCCGCAGCGCACCCAGTCTGTAAGAAGCCACAGCGAGGCTCTGTGTAGAAGAGTGGGACAGAAGGTTGGCACCAGGGCCCTTCTAGGCTGGGAGCTGTCAGTGAACGGGGCCTGCCAGGAGGCCCAGGGGGCCCAGACACTGAAGGCAAGGCGCCCCCTACCTTTGGTGTCTTCATCTTCAATGGTGGTGTTGGTGCTCTCTGAAGATTCCTGCCAAAGAGAACAGGGGAGGCGGTGAGGCCTGCCAGGCGGGCGAGACAAGGCGCGGCCAGCCGGGGGCTGCCCCAGTGGCCCGATGCTGTGGCTCGGTTTCTGTCAGCCTCACCGGCTCTGCCATCCAGATGCTGCACTGAAAACCCTGTCAGACTTCCAAGCCTAAGGAAGGGAAGGGCCCAGCTGAGCAGGTGGCTGATGGCGGGGCTGTGGAGGAAGGGGTGGATGCGAGGAGAACCCTGGCCTTTCTGGAGGGGCTGGGAGGGGCTCCTGGGCCCTGACTGCTCGAGGGAGCGAAGAGGGGGTGCGGGGGAGCAGAGAGGCCCACGGCGGCCACAGAATGGGGAAGGAATACACACACTGGCAGGAGAGGAAGAGAGAGAGAGAGGGAGGGCCAGTGTGAGAGAGGGTGGGCTTTTCAGGGGCAGAAAAACCACACAACTGAGGAGACAGCAGTGGAATCAGAAGAAGAGGGACGTGGGCCACCATGCCACCACTGGAACCCCTAGACAGAGGCAGGGGCTGCAGGCTCCTCTGCCACCGGCGGGCCCTGGGTAGCCTTGCAGAAGCTCAAGAGGGGCCTCCGCGGTGCCCACTGCTTTGGCCAAATCACGCCCCCCCTCGCCGCAACTGGTACAAACCAAGCCCTGAGATGAGTTCCAGAGCAGAGGGTGGGGAGAAGCGAGAAGCCAAGGACTGGACGTGGGACGGGATTCAGATCGCCCTCCGCACTGGAGGGAGGTCTAAGGGCTACCGTCAGGCTGCTGGTCTGGGCCATGAAGTTGAGGTGTCAACAGAAACACGCAAACAACACACACACACAACACACACATTGTCACACGAGGCACACGTACCAAGCACGCCCTGAGCACCCTCTCCCCGCCCCGGGTTCCCAGTGCAGCCTGCAGGAGGGAGGCAGGAGCGAGGGTTCGAGGCCCAGCATTTACCGGCGTCTGGGAGACGGCAGACACTCACCATTAACTGAACGCTGGAACTGGACTTTCTTTTCTGGAAAAACAAGGAGAAGAGATGGGACAGGAAAAGACACAGCGTGAAAACGGCAGGGAGCAGAGGAACGAACAACAGGGGAGGTTTGGAAGGAGGATGGGCCTCAGGGTCATCCTCTGTGGTCCCTTGCCTGCATCGCTTCGGGGCAAGGAGTCAGGGCGACCAGCAACAGCTGGCCTGGCCGGGCCAGTCCTCTCTCAGCCTGAAGTCCTGGGGCCTCATGCACAGCTGCCTGGGTCTCGCCAATTCAACCACCAAGCTCCAGGCCAAGCCTCCCATGGACCAGGGCTCCCTCTACGCCAGGCTCTGATGGGGGGAGCAATCCCTGGGTCTTGGATGCCGGTTGCCTAAGGCCTCCAGAATCCAAAGCTCTTGAAGGATAAAAGGGCGCTAGGTCTAGAGATGAGGCCCAGTGTCTCCTCCTAGACTCGCCCTGCATCTCTGCTGCAAGGACCCCACTCCTGGTTTGGTTGGGTATCATAGTCACTTGGGAAATTTGTTAAAAATACAAGTAACCAGGCCCCCTCCAAGCAGTTTGGTAACTGGGTCTGGGGCGGGCCCTGGGCATCTCCATTCTAAACAATCTCCTAGGTGATTCCACAGCAGGCCTGGGGGTGGGAACCAGTCCTCTAAGTGGCCTTTGAAATCCTGCTTGTGTTCACAGCTTCAGTGACTGGTCTGTTTAGCTCCTTTATGCTGCTAGAGAAACTGAGGCACAGCCAGACAGACAGGTGAGCCCAGAATTTGAGCCTCAGGGCTCTGCCATTCAGCCTATTCTAGCTTTTGGGGGATTTGTAGCTTCCCCTGTATCACTGGCCGTGGAACCAGGAGAAGGAAAGAGAGGACAAACGTAGATCGTCTTCTCTTGGCTCTAAGCCAGGAGTCTTACAGACTCACATTCGTAGAAGGTTGCAGGTCAAGGCTGACACTTGCATTGCACAGATGAGAACCTGGGGCCCAGAGATGGGCAGTGACCCCCCCAAGGTCTCTCAGGTAGCCAATAGCTGAGCGGAGGCTGGAACCCCTAAGTACAGGCTCTCTCCGCTGTCCGGGTCTCCAGGCACCCGCAGCCTGACCGCTCCTCAAAGGCTCGTCCTTCCTGGACGCGCTCACGGCCCAGAGGCCAGGAGGCCTCTCTCCTCACTGCACTGTGGGGGGAGCACAGGAGGGACTTGAGATGCCCACAGGGTAGGCCTTTGCCAGGGGGAGGCACTGGATATCCTCTGAGGGTCCTTGGGTCTAATTCTGGGCATTCTGACTCCAGGATCCAGGAGCCTCTGAATGTCAGGGGCCTAAGATCCTGTGCCCTCCATCCAGAGCCTCCACAGACATGGCAGAGTGGCTCACTGGGCATGTCCAGTGTAAATGCCCACAGCCCCTGCGTCTGCCCCAGCTGGGTCAAACAGTGTGACTTCCACAGCCAGCAGCCTGCAGTCAGCCCCTCCTTCCCTCTCCTCCTCTCTTCCCCTCTCCTCCTAGTGTCAGCCTCACTCCTGGCTGGAGCTGGGCCAGGCACAGTATGTGTGGGAGGGGACAGACCCACACAGCTCGGCTGTCAGCAGAAACCTGAGGAGCAGTGTGGGTCCAGGAGGTTCCAGGTGGGACACGAGGAGGGAACACAGAGCAGAGACTGCATCAGATTCGGACGTACAGTGACAGGATGGGACATAGGAGAGAGAGGTCACGACGGCACGGATGGGACACCAACAGGGAGCAGTGAGTGAGGTTGAGGGGTGGGAGCGATCGGCCCCTCCTCAGAGAAGTTGGGGCCTAGGGGTGGCTGGGAGGGGTTCTTGGTAATAGAAGCACTTCTTGGTAATGGAAGCTTCTTGGTAATAGAAGGACTCAGTTTCCCTGAATCACGAATGATGTTGATGCTGATGATGACCCTGCTCTGACCGTAATTCACAAGGGCTCTCAGGAAGGGCAGAGTCGCATCTCTTAGAACCACGTGTAGAAGCACGGTTCTAAGGTTAGAGGATGGTGGAAATGGAGTGTGGTCAAAATCAGCCTTGAAAAGCCCTTAAAAGCCCATAAAGTACAGTATCGTGTCACAGCTCTAACTGCGGCCGGCCAGTTTTTCCTCCAGCCTTGGAACCAATCACTGCTTCTTCAGCGAAGCCCCAAAGCAAATTGGTGGTTTGTCTCTCAGGACCAGGTTGTAGGAAGAACACGAATTTCCCTGCTTTGACTGGAAGTGTGTTGGTTAAAGGAACACGTGATGCGCCTCCCTCAGGCCCCCTCTGGTGTGAGCCTCTCACCAGCCCCACAAACAACCATCATTGTCCCCTAGCACAGATGACAGAAATGGTGACCTAGGTCCCCAAGGGAGGGAACCGTGGGGCCCGGATGCAAACCCACGGCTTCGTGACTTGAGGTCCAGTTTACTCCTAGTAAAAACATCACAGGCCCCCCAGAGCAACATGGTGCAGGCTGGGTTCCACAGATCCTGGGCACGGCCCCCTGGGTTACTCTTGTCCTCCAGCCACACTTCCTGCTTCTTCACCCCAAGGAAATGAAGGAGGCTGAGCCCCAGAGAGTCAGTCTGGCCAGGAATAGCCTTTGAGCTTCTCTTCATCCACACCCAGGCCACCCTGGGACATCACTCAGGGTCTGTCCTGTGCTGCAGGAAGCAGCCACACTTTCTTCAGCTGCGCCCATGGGAAAGCCCTGCAGAGACCAGCCAGAGCCCACCGTGCCATGAGATGTCCTTGCCCTCGGACAGCCTCTACCTCCTGGCCTGACCCGGAGAGGAGCCAGACTAGAGCTTCGTCCCAAGACCCGGCCTGAGGGAGGCCCTGACCTCACACCCCGTGGCTCTTCGCCTTTACCAGGACCACACCCGAGAGTCAAGCAGACTGGGGCAGCCCTCCCTCCGCCCCCTCCTCCTCCGGTGACCTGGGCCACAGCCCACCAGCGCTTGTGCCTCTGCCCTATCCCCCAAATATGATTTTCCCCAGGAACCCCGCACCCCCAGTGTCTACACCCTAGGGCCAGAGAAGGGCCCAGGTGCCCCAAAACAGGCCGCCCCACACTGCATATCCCCCCATTACCCTTTCAAACTGGGGAGGAGGAGGTTTGACTTATGGGCACCCCAAAACAGCAGGTGAGCCAAAACTCAATTCTAGATTCCATGACAGGATTTGGGACGGGCACGTGTTAACTTTATAAATCGGGTTGGCTTTAAACCTGTGGTTTCCAAATATCTTCCTGCTCAAACTTTGTTTTCAAGAGACATCTCACCCAAAAGTCCAGTATATGAAACAGAAAAGATAATAAGACTGACGAGCACCTCCTGAGCATGGCCCGCACGCCAGCACAGCGCTATGCACTCAGCACACTTGGTCTCAGGTCACGCTCACAAACAGCCCTGGAAGAGGGGAACCTCTTTTGCTCCCATTGCTTGAATGAGGAAGCACAGGCTCAGGGCAGTCACATAGCCAGCCGAGGTCTCCAGCTGCTCAGCCCGCCCCAGCTCGCGGAACCACTGCCACGGCGGTTACATCAAGCTGCCCTGGTGGAAGTGGGCACAAGAAGCCCACAGCCTCCTCTGCTCATACTCCCCCTTTCTAATTGCACCCTATCTGCCACCACGGGTGCCTCCCCAGAACCTTTGGGGTCCAAGGAGTTCAGTTTGAAAACCGCTGACTTGGGCTGATAACCGAATAATTCTCTATTGCTCACGGACCCAAGATGAGGAGAGAAATGATTAGAGAGGGTTTGTTGCTTTTTTTTTTTTTTGCTTGTCTGTTTTTAAAGCTGAAATCTTAGAAATCATGGAGTCCACACCCCTCCCGCCTCACCCATTGTACCTATGGGGAAACTCAAGCCCCCAGAGGGCTAAGAACAGAGAGGAGGCCCAACTCCTGGCCTCGGATAGCCAGCCCAGATTCCCACCCACGCAGACCCTGGCAGACCAAAGCCAGCGGCCTGAGACTGTAAATGCCACTACAAACGAAGCCATGAAGCCACCAGCCCACCTAGCTGGCTGTGTTTGGACAGCGTCCCACACCTTCCAGTGTGCTGGGCACAGCCCAGCCCTGGGGCCCTGAAAAAGGCAGGGTCTCAAGAGAGGAGAACCCACAAGGCGAGCCAGTGGCAGGGGAGAAGGGAGCTGCAGAGAGCAGGGGACCAGGCCCCAGAGAGCAGAGGGAGAAGAGAGAGGAGGGAAGGAGGGGTCAGGGGGGTGTGGAGGGAAGTAGCTCGGGCATCAGAGGTGGGGTCAGAGGGCAGGCCTGGGGAGGAGGGGATTCTTGGCACTGAACCAGCAGGCCTCGGTTTGGGGGCGGGGTACCTCTGGATCCCAAAGCCGAGAGGAATGGCTGTCCATCCTCCGCAGACTTTGTGGGTTGGACTGGGGTGCACATTGGGTCAGGGGTCCACTCCAGCCAGGCCACACTCGGGAAGGAGGAGGTCACCCCTCACGATTATGTCTGTCCCTTCCTTGCATCCTCTCGCTCACAAGTCCTCCAGTCCCGGAGAACCACAGAAACCGCCTTCGGACCTGCCCCTTTCTTTGTGCCCACCCCAACCCCAGGCCACCTGCCTCTCCCACCCTCTTTCAAGCCTCCCCCTCCCCAACCTGCCCCCACCAATCCTGGTGAGTGGGTGGGCACCGAAGCCAGGTCTCTCTGTCTGGGGATCGCCCGGCTGCACGGGTGACCACATCTGCCCAGATCACCACCAGCAAGGCCTGCATCGTGCCCCAGCCCTGAAAGCCGGGCCCTGCTGGCGGAAACACAGCCAGAGGCAGGCCCTGCTGGGCTCCCAGGGGGCTTACCTTCACACCATCGTTCTTCTTGTTTCCTCCACTCTTCCCTCCTGCGGAGGAGAGAAAGTAGAGGGTTACCAATACCAGGCAGGGCACCAGGGCCCACAGGGCGAGGAAGAGCAGCATCCACGGGCAGCCGAAGGGCACGGAGCCGGCTCAGCGATCGGGGGAGCCCTCCTCCTCCTGCTCCTCCTTCCTCCACAGCAAGCCGGTGCCCACTAGGTGGGCCTGGGCTCCCCCAGTTCTCAGCAATCTCAAATGTGACCCTCTGGCCCCATGGGTTGAGGGAGGTGCCCAACGCGTCCCAGAACCATGGGGTTGCTGTTTCAGCCTGGGGATTCCCTCTGGAACCCAGTCACCACCCGTGCTGGTGGTAGCCAACCCAGAGGCCCAGCTGCCTGGCCCGGGGCTGGACGCTCCCTCCCCACCCCAGCCCATTCTAATTTTAGCCCCACGCTGCTGCAGAGGTCATGTGTCAGCCCTGCCTACTCACTCTGGACAGCTGCGAGCTGCGTTTTGCCGGTGACAAGAAGCAGATGCCCCCCTCTGGGGCCCATCTTTGCCAGAACACCCATCCCCTGCAGAGGCCTCCCCACCCTCAAACTCTGGAGCCCCATGCTGGGGCTGGCTGTGTCCCTGGTGGCCAGGAAAAGCAGAGCAACAGCTCTCAGAGAGACCCCACTTCTGTCATTCCCCTTTCCCTCCCTCCTCACCTCCTGGCCAGAGCCCTTAGAGAGGGCATCAGCCAGGAAATGGCATGAATACCCAGCCCTGCCCAGCCTGGCATCCAGCGGCTCCAGACCTCAAGCAAATGCCTTAAGTTAAATGAGACAGAGTCTCTATAAAGTGCTTAGCACCACACTTGCCCTCTACGACGTAGATGCTCAGGAAATGGTGGCCACTGTAAGTCCTTCTCCTGGTGGCCTGGAGAGGGTGAGTGTGGAGGAGGGGCAGTACAGGACATCGATGCCCCAGAGGCTCAGAGGGATGGGGCTTGTGGCTGCTTCAGCTTCCCGGTCACGCTCACATTTCCACCTATGACCCCATCCAGGCTTTCGTCCAAAGTTTTCTTCTTGCAAAGTGAGCGTGGGGGGGTGGGTACCTCTGGATCCCAAAGCCCAGAGGAATGGCTGTCCATTCGCCAAGGGCTTTGTGGCTGGACTAGGGTGCACAGCAGGACAGGGGCATGCTTGCCCCTCGTGCCTCGAAGGGGCCCCTCTCAGCGCCAGCCCCCTACAGCAGGACTGTGGGTCTCTTGAGGCCACATATTCTGATTTTCAGGAGAAGACAGAAATCTTGGCTTGTCTATGAAATCTCCTGGTTTTTAAGTGCTGGAAAGTCTTTCCAGAAATATTTTTTAAAATACCACTGGCTCCGCAAGTACATCGGGAGACGGGAACTGACCCCTGCGCACCATTTTATGAGCTCTGGGCTAGAGTTCTCTAGGGGTGCTTCAGTTGTTAAAAAAAGACTCTGACTGTCTGGGTGGCTCATCTTTCAGTTTGAAGAACTGCGGGATCCTTGTCTGGGGAGAGAGTGCGAAGGCAGTTCAAGGCCGTGGAGAATGCCCAAATCTGAAGTTCTAGGGTTTTCCCACCTCTGGGTCTCATTAGTCCAGCTGGTTAAACGGGCTGGTGGACCCTCTGAGAGAAGCCAGGGCTGTAGCTCCCCAGAGCCGACCCCTAGCTGTGGGGCCGGCCACGTGTCCACAGCAGCCCTCTCTGGCTGGCCCCAGCCCCGGTCAGGAGGCCCCTCAGGTGAGTTTTGCTGTATCTGCTGGGCTGCCTGTCAGCCACCCTGGGCGGCCCAGAGCCGAGCCTCTAGTGGGGCTGACCCCAGCATGCTCCATCCTGCCAAGGGGAGCTTCTCCCTGAGCTCTGACACCAATCCCTTCCCATCCTCTCTTCAGGACTACATGCTGCAAGTCGCCGGGCCCTCCTTGCCTTGACCAGCCTGGCTTTGGCCGAGGCCAACGGCTCCTGCCCTGGCCTCCCCGGTGACCCAGCTGGTTAAGGGCGCTTGCTCTGGGGTTGCTCAAACCCAGCTGAGAGCACAGGCTCCGCCGCCCTCCGGCAGTGCGGCCTGGGGCCAGTCAGTCCCTGCCCTGAGCTTCCGTTCCCTCATCCAGAAAATGGGCATGGCCAGAGCCCCCACCGCCTTGTCACGAAGGCCACCTGAGCAAAAGCACGGGAACCACTCAGCACAGGGCTCCAGTAACGGTGGGAAATGGGCCTATTGCTACTCCCTGGGCCTGGCTCAGTCCCTCCGGACCTGTACCCCAGCATTCGGGAGGCCTTCCCCTCCAGCCGGCCCAGCCGGAGAACCCCAGCAGGGCTGTGAAGTGGGGGAGACAGACCAAACCTCTAACCCTTCCTGGTGGGCCCTTGGCTTGCTGATCTTTCACCTTTCGCCACTTCTGGGTGCAGGTTTGTGTCAGGAGAGCTAAGCCCTCAGTGACGGGATCTTCTGCGGCCCCCATTCTCCCCAGGCTCCTGGTCTGAGGGTACCCAGATATCTGACACAGCAATGTCCCCACCTCCTGCAGGATGCTTTTGGGACTTTGAGATCCCACCACCTACCAGAGAAGTTCCTGGTGGCCAGCATAGTGGTGAGGATGGCCCCCTGCAACAGAGAAGCGGAGGGAGGGTGGGGGAGAGGAGGCCGGAGGTGACCGGGGAGAGGAGAGACAGAGAAATGGGAGGGGAGTGGGCAAGGAGAGGCAGGGGCTCCAGTCAGACACAAAGCCAAGGCCTTCTGTGCCCGCTCCTCCATTTGTCCCTCAACCCACAGCCCAGGGACCACCCCTGCCTCCCTGGAGAAGTGGGGGTGAGATAGGTCTTAGCTGGCACAGCTCCGGGGACAGGGCCATCCTATGAACAGATATTAATAGGTTCCACTGGTCTGGCCAGAGCTGGTGGAAGGGCTTGGGGACACCTGTCAGCGGGGGCTCCTAAAGGCCAAGGAAGTTTCCTGCCTGGACAAGGACAGTAGACCCTGCGCCCCCGCGGCCCCTCCCCCTCTCTGCCCTCTGCCCCAGGCCCCCAGCTCCAACACTAGTTCATCCCTCCGTGGTTCCTGGGCTCAGGATCCTGGAGGATTAACATGGAAAAACTCTCTTCTGTCAACAAGGGGCTAGGGGACATGCCCTTCTGGTGCTGAGGCTGTCTAATTTGGATGCTCTCTGAATCTGACGGTCCATTATTTTTTAGAATCCCTGATTCCAACATTTTGAGACTTCCTCCATGACAGCTCCCACTGAGGGGTAGAGTTGGGACTCAGTTCTCTTGGCAACAGGCTGGCCACCGTCCCCTTGGCCCATGTCTCCATCCTGAGCCACCACGCCAGGCCCAGGAGCAGTGGATGAGGAGTTACTGAACGAGCCAGGGCCTCAGCATCCGTCACTCAGCATGCTGATGGCTTCTCTGTTCTGACCGGCTGGAGCTGCTTGGCTGCTCTTTCTACCTGCTCACGGGGTCCCTGGCAAGGCCTAGGTCAGGAGCTGTTAGGGCCCCGAGAACACATAGGACCTGCTGAGAGGCCAGCAGCTCAGGGCCCACCTGGGTCCCACTGTGGCTTCCTCAGGGCCGTGACCCCATCCGGGTCTCTTGGTCATTCCTCTCCAGGGCTCAGCAGCTGGGGCCTCCACCCCACCATGGTGTCCTGCCCAGTCACACATCACCCCCTGAACCCTCTGCCCAGCCACGCCAAAACACTTGCAGTCCCCTGCAGGGTCAGGCTCACGCTTGCAGACTTCTGCACAGGCTTTTCTCCATCTGGAACATCTGCCCGCTGACCCTACACTGCAAATACCTGCTTCTCCTTCAGGGTTTCGGCTTAAATGCCATTTGCCCGCGAAGGCTTCCGAGATCCCTCCCTGGTCCTTCCAGACCTGGTTCACAGCCCTGCCATGTGCTCCCACAGCCTCCGGGCGTGCGGTCACAAACACTCACCACTGCCCCGTAATGTCCTGGTTATTGTCTGTCCTCTCCACTGCTCGCTGCCCAGCCCAGACAGTAGGGGGGCAACAAACGCTTGTTGACTCAGTGAAGGAAAGAGCTAGTAAGCAGGGCTCTTGGCCGCTGTGGAGACGCAGGCCAAGCTACTCCCGCGTCCCGGGGGCGTGGAGGGCGAGGACCTGTTACCTTCAGTTTTCTCCTGGCGTTGAACTTCTTCAGGCAGTCCACGGTCTCCTGTCTGTGCATGCAGGAGGCCACGGTGGACCGGTGCTGGAGGAAGAGGGGGAGCGGCCAGTGAGCCGACGGCAGGCCTACCCAAGGACCCCTCACAGGGCGTCTCGTGAATGTGATTGGCATCTTGGGGGGAACAATTCCCCCTCATTGTTCCAGGGGATGTCGTCAACATTGCAGGTGATCAGCATTCCTGGCACCAGACATTCAATGCCAGTAGCACCCCTAGTCATGATGCCGACCCAGAACACCTCCCATTTCCACTGTCCCCTCAGAGCAACAGCAGGGTCAATATATCTCGGATTAAGCCCCCTTGGCCCCACGGGGGTCAGGAACAGGATTCCGTGCCGGCCTTAACCCTTAGGTCTGGAGGGCTCTGGGAAGGGCCTGGCTGAGGCCAGCTCACCGAGATCCATGGGTGCTTGAGCGCCTCGGCGGCCGTGATACGTTTGGACGGGTTGATAGTCAGCATCTTATTGATCAGATCCTTGGCTTCTGGAGTGACGGTATCCCATTCTGGTGATGGGAACTGGAAGGGGCAGAGGGGCCAGGTTTGCCCAGCCTACGCCAGGCCACCCCTGCGATCCCCCAGCCCCTGACTGGCAGGGGAGCAGGCAGGGGTCCTACTGCCCATCCACTCGGGCATCCACAACCAGGAGGAGTTGGGGCAGGTCCCCTGATCCCAGGACAAACCAGAACACCAGCTGGAGGGAAAGGAGGCCTCCCTCTGCTATTCTGAAGCTGTGCCCTATCTGGAGGGCAGAGGGGCCAGTAGGTACAGCCCAGACTTCAGAATCAGAAGGCTGAGTTCGAGTCCTGGCTCTGCCTCCTGAGCCATGTGACCTTGGGCAAGCCACGTGACCCCTCGAGCTGTCCCTAGCGAAGAAGATTAAATGCGATATTAACCACGTGGCACACAGCTTGACAGTGTATAGAAAAGCAGTATAGCTTGGCAGTTAGAAGCAGGGACAGTGGAATCAGACTGCCTGGGTTCAAATCCTAGCTCCACCATTTCTCAGCTGTGTGATCCTGGCAGTCATGCAACCTCTCTGTGCCTCAGCTTCCCCGTCTGTAAATCAGGGATAACAACAGTACCTGCGTCATAGATTGGTGTGAGGATTAACTGTAATAATACATAGAAAGCATTTAGAAGAGTGCTATATAAGTGTCAGCTATTATTATTACTTGTAGATATTAAATATATCTGTGTAAATATAGAAGGGAAGAAAGAGAGAGAGAGAACCTGGCTCCTGGAGCCTGTGCCCCCAGCTCTCCCCCACTTTGGTGCCACTTCTGCCCTCTGGGGCCCCACGGGCTCAATCCCATCACTAAGAGGCCCCACCCGTTAGGCATGGCCAGCTCCTCGCCTGGCCCCAGTCAGTCCTCAAGCTCCCCCGTCAATCACCCCACAACTAGAGAGTGGCAGGGAGGCCTAAGTGGGCTGGGGGGGCAGGCGGGAAGCATCACCGGGTCTCTGACCTCACTGGGCATTGGCTTTCATGGGAAGGGGCCTGGGGATGACAGGGAGGCTGGAGACAGGAGAGACACTCACATCATAGGCTCCGGCTTTGATCTGTTGGTACAGACGGTGCTGGTCTTCATCCCAGAACGGGGGGTACCCAACCAGCAAGATGTACAGGATGACCCCTGGGGAGAGGACCAGGACATCCTTTAGCCTGCTGCGAGGAGGAGCAATGGGCGGGAGTGATGGGAAAGGAGAGAGAGGACACCAGAGCTGCAGGCGGCCGGGGGGATGAAGGGGCCTTGGGATGGACTCACCACAGGCCCACAGATCCACTGGCTTCCCGTAAGGGTCCTTCCGCAGCACTTCTGGGGAGAGGTATCCAGGTGTCCCTGCGAACCCTGCTCCCCAGACACACAGACAGGAAGACACACACACAGAGGGTGGTAAGTAACCTGGAGCAAGAACCTGCTGGAAGAGGGATATGGGTTGCCCTGGAGATGGGGAAACGCCCCGTCGCCCAGAGCGGGCCTGGTAAGCCAGTAACAGCGCTAGACCAGGGTGGACAAGCACCTAGTACACCTGTCACCACCCCCACTCCAGAACCATCAGCAGAAGCCACTGATCAGTCCCAGAGCTCTTCCCACCGAGTCCCAGCTCAGCATCACAAACTCTTAGCACAACCCTCCCAGCAGCCACTACCAAGCAATTGCTGGTGGACTCGATGAAACGTCCTCGCCGTGTCATTCCAGGCTGAGCTGAACCCTTGCCCACTCCACGCTCCTTGTAGGAGCTGGTCCTGGGGTGGCAGCTCTGTCCCTGACTCTGGCTTCGCCCTAAGTCCCTTGGGGAGGCCTCTTTTCCTTCTACGCCTCAGTTTCCTCATCTATCAAGGGTAGGGATTCCTATCTTACATACCTCCCAGTGTTGTTGTGAGAATCAACTGAAACAACAGATACTCAAAGTGCTTGAACAGGTAATCGTAAGAATAGTTCCTATGTACAGAGTGTGAGTGCTAAGCAGGGCTGCGCACTTTCTATGCCTGACCTCATTTAATCCTCACGCAGCCCTGAAGAGCATTCTTTCATTGTCTCCTTTTTTCCGAGGTGGAAATGAAGGCTCAGAGAGGCGAAATGCCTTTCCCAAAGTCACACAGCTCGTAAGCAGCAGAGTCGGGATGTGAACCCAGAGCTCTGGTTCTTAACCACTGATCAGTAGTGTCCACTAGAGTGTCCCCACGTGGTGGAAAGGAGTCAATGATGCCAAAATCTCAGCGCACACTGGGTCATCTGAGCTTCGGTCCTGGCTCTTCCCCTTTTAATCTCCCCAGATCTTTTCCAAGTTTTTTGGCCTCTGTTCCTCGTCTGTAAAATCAGGGTAATAATCTCCTTTGCCCAGGCTGTTAGGGGAACCCAAGGGAGCCCCTGGCCCACAGCGAGGGCATGTGTGCCTGTGAAGAAGCTGTGGGCTGTTTGAATGATAACCATGTCCCTGTGCCTGGCCCCTGGGAGATAGGATGGGCAATACCCACGGACCCAGAGGCTGGGTGGGGTGGGACTTCTGTTCCCTGAGCCCTGGCTGGTGCGACAGCTGTCTCCAGCCAGCCCCACCTTGGGCAGAGGGTTCCTAGAGACTGACATTTCCACACCAGACCAGCCCCCCATCCCCTGCCACCGGTGCCCCACTCACCGAACCACGCCTGCTGCTCCCCCTCCACCTCAATGGCCAGGCCAAAGTCCGCCAGCTTCACTGCGGCGCCCTTGAGCTTGGAGGCCAGCAACAGATTCTCCGGCTTCCCGGGACCAGAGAGAAGAGGGAAGAGGGGCGGGAGAGGGCCAGAGGACAGTGAGCAGGTTCAGAACCTCACGTCCAGCGGCTGGGGCTTCCAGGAGGAACAGCCACACCATCCAGAGGTGCCCTCCCCCACCTGCAGTCCCAACCACAGGACCCTGAGCCTCAGGCCCCAGAGAGGGGACCACCCCACTGCAAGTCCTCCGCCTTCTGCAACAGGAAGACCTTTCCTCCACCAGCCATCCCCTCCTTCCCTTCCCCTCAGGTCTGGGCTAGGGTTGAGGTGAGGGCGGGGGTGCGGGGACAGCCACCAACACAATAAGGAAAGAGAAACAACATTTACTGTGGACCTACTATGTGCCAGCCACTTGGCTAAGAGGTTTGCATACATCATCTCATCAGCCCTTTGGGGCAGGCACTATTATCCCCATTCTCCACAGTGGCCTTCTTACAGCCCCTGAAACAGTCATCCTTGTTCCCACCTCAGGGCCTTTGCACTTCCCATTCCCCCTGCCTGACTTGCTCTCCCTCTGAACTTCACAGGGCTGGCCCCTTCTCTTCATCTGGCTCTCACCTTCATGTCACCGCCTCCAAGAAGCCCTCTATGACTACTCTTTCTAAAGGAGGGGCCCCCAGGTATCCTCTGTCTTAGCTCTTTGTTACCTTCATAGATCTCATCACAATTTGTGATGTTTTTCCCCACTTGTCTGTGTGCTTGGTCATTATCTGTCACCTCTGCAAAATGTGAGTTTCTTATCTGTCCTGTCCACCACTGTATCACCAGCACCTAACACAGTGGGCAGCACGTAGCAAGCACTTAATAGGTATTTGCTATATCTGTAAAGATGAGGAAACTGAGGCTCAGAGAGGTTAAGTGATTCGACCAAGATCACACAGCTGATAAGTGATAGAGCCAGAATCGAGGCAAAGTCTGGCTCCAGAACAGTGGTCTCAAGCACTCTAAGCTGAGAGATGGGGGGGCCTCGTACATGCCACGTGACCTCTGGTGTATCAAGGCTGCTGTCTTCTGCTGGGTCCAGAGGAGAGGAAATCCCCCTCCTTGAGTGTAGACTCTCCAGCTAGATAGCACAAGCTACTTCTGTGCTGTGGAACTTGAGCAAATTATTTCCCTTCCCTGAGCTTTAGTTTCCTCTCAGAAAAATGGGGATAATGCCTACCTCATGGGGTGTCATCCGGGTTAACTGGGATAATCCACGTAAAGCACTTTGTGGTGGCCTACGGCAAGCGCTTGAGACGCGTCCGTACTCATATTTTCTGCTCAGTGGCGGGGCTCCCAGTCTCTGAAGACAGCTGGTTTCCTCTGACCCCCTCCCCCACCGGGACTTTCAAGGGGTCCCGCACCTGACCTTTCACTGCCCAAAGTTAGGCAGGACGCAGACAAATATAGCTCTGTCTGCCCCTCGTCAAGGCCTCTTTTGTCCTCTGGGGACTGTGTTCCCAGCGTGTCCCGGGTCTCGGTCGCCGTCCTGCCCTGATTTGATGAATGTGCCACTAATGAATCTATCTGAAGTGGCCTGAATTGGTGCTGCCTCTCCTCCTTCCCCCTCCCGTGCAGCGGCCGCAGCTATAATGGGACAGGCCCTCGGGGAGAGCCGCCCTGCGGTCTGGCCAGAGACACTCTTCCAGCACACGCTCGCCTGGGGGTCTGGACTGACCCACTGGGGGCTCACCTGGGCTCAAGTGAGGAGCCACAGATGGCTGTGACAGTCAGAGGTGGGGAGGGGTTCTGGTCAGCGCATTGCACCCCAGAAAGGGACCTGGAAAATGAGGATGCCCAGGGGGGTGCCCAGGGTGAGGAGGGCCTGGACATGCCGTCCTGGGTGGGGATGGAGAACAGCCTGCAGAAGACTCAGGGGCTACGACAAGAGGCCCCAGGGCTGCTCTGAGGTGGATACTTGATCTGCGCGGCCCCAAAGGGTAGAACTGGGGTTCACAGGAAAAATCCCACAGCAGGACAGATGGAAGAAGCATTTCCCAGTGGTGCAAGGGGCCACCTCATCAGAAGTGAGTTCACAGTCACCGAAGGCCAAAAAGAAGAGGTTTGATGGACACCCAATAGGGTCACCTAGAAGGGGCTACTGTAGAAGCAGGAGCTGGACTGAGTGGCTTTTTAGCCCTAGGACACCCAGGGCATGGGATGTGGGGTCAGAAGTTCATGGCTCCAGTCTGAGCTCAAGCACGGCTGAACTGCATACTCTCAGGCAAATCCCTTGGACTCTTTAGGCCTTAGTTTCCTGCTCTGCAAAGTGGGGACGATGTTATGAGCTACCAGCGGCTGATGCCACGAGGCCCAGCAGAGGAGAGCCGAGAAGTCTGTGCTGACTGGGCAAAGCCATGCGGCTGGTGCCGGCCCCAGCCTGCCCATCTCCTTAGTCCTGACCATCTCCTTCTCCAGGGAGAGGAGGAAGGACGCCAAGGGCCTCAAGCCCTGTCTTTCCTCTCCTCCACCTGCCAGAGACCTGGAAACAAGAGTAACATCGCATCTGTGTACCAGGCACTGGTGTCTCCTCTGACATCCTCACCAACCCTGTGCCGACGTTGCTATGGCAACCCTCACTGTAAAGAAGCTGAGGCCGTGCAGCTAGAAAGCGGCCTAGCAGGGATCTGGACCATACCATAGCCAATCCTGGCAGTCTAACTGCGTCTCACCTGGCCAGGCACAAAGCATGTGCGGCTGGGAGTCAGGAGACCTGCGTCCTGAGCCCAGATGCTCGACCTCCCTGAGCCCAGTTTCCGCATTGGAACAGTGGGGGAAATAGTCCCCATCTAGCCCAACTCAGGGAAATTGAAGGGATTCTGGGAATACTGCAGGCGGAGGGAAGGGCAGGGGCAGAGGGGCCAGCTCCCTGGTGAGCCGCACCCTCAGGCGAGTTGCTCACCTTCAGGTCCCGGTGCACCACCCCCATCTGGTGGCAATGCAACACGGCCTCCAGGATCTGCTGGATACAGTGACTGGGGAGAAAAAGGAAGGGGTCATCGTGTGAGGGGGCCCCCCCCCCGGGAAGCCAGGCGAGATGCCCTGTCCTGGGACGCCACTGCCAGGTCACACCCGGCACTCACCTGGCATCCGCCTCGCTGTAATACTCCCGGGCCACGATGTCCTCAAACAGCTCCCCGCCAGTGACCCTGGGGAGACAGGCATGGAGTCACCCTCTCACAGAGGCCCCAGGCAGCTAAGGGCGAGGCCCAGGGACCTCAGAACCTCAGCCCCCAAACGAGGGACCCCAGGGGTCATGGGGGTGCCCCCTGCTACAACCCCTTCCTGGCTTCCAGCCCATCCTTCACTGACTTTCGTCCCCTCCATCCCGGCCCTTGTCCCCACCAGGCCCAGGCTGAAGTTGGGACTGGAGGTGGGATACCAGGAACCCATCACTAGGATTCAGTAGGCTCCTGGAGCCCAAGGGCTGGGCTGTTCTGTTTTTCAGCAGACTTTATCTTTAGAGTAGCTTTAGGGTCACAGCGAAATTGAGCAGAAGGTACAGAGACTTCCCATAGATCCCCTCGCTCTCCCATTATCAACATCCTAAGAGCCCAGAGGAGACCAGTGTCCTTGCTGAGCTTCTCTGCCCACTGAGGCCTATCATTCCATTATTGTTCCTCATTCAATCGACTGCTTTAAAAAACTTTAAAACTCTTCCAAAAGGAAACTTTATACCCCTGCTAGAAATGGAACACGAGCATCACTGGCCACAAATAGAAACAAAACTAAATATATGATGGCGAAAGTTAAAAGTGTGTGTTGGTGTTTCAGGAAAACAGATGTGTGCTGCTCGGGTGGCAGGCTGACTGTGATTTGGGAAACTGTATCAAAAGAGGGGATTCAGCCCAGCCTGGGGGCAGCTGGGACCCCTCAGGCCAAGAGATCCAGAGAGGGCACCTGTGCTCAGGCTGCCCAGATACCCACAGGACATCCCGGGGCGGGGTGGGGCGGGGTGGGTGCCAAACTCACAGGTCGAAGATCAGGTAATGGTGGCCCTCCTCAGAGATGCTGTCGTGGAGCCGGACTGTGGGAAGGACCAGGCAGCCAGTTATGCCGGGCACACTGCTCCCCACCCGCACCCACCCTCCCAGCCCTCAGACAGCCAACACTGCAATTTCTCAGACAGTCACTGAGCACAAGCTAGGTACCAGGTGCTTTGACAAACGCAGGTGAACAGGGCTCACTGACCTTAAGCATCGCCAAAAGAGGCCTGGGCTTAAATATTACGGACCCCTGTTTTGGTCAAAGTTTGGCTCTCTCTCCTTTCCAACTCTCAGTTTCCTTGCTAGGCAGTCACGGAACGAGCCTGTGGCTCAAATCTCTGCCACTCATTAGCTGTGTGACTTTGGGCAAGCTGCTACGCCTTTCTGAGCCTCTCTTTCCTTGCTTGGACAATGAGACTAAGACTCCTGGACTTGAAGGCTTATTGTGAGAATTCCATGAGGCACACAGTGGGTGCTCACTCGATGCTGGCCCTGAGCTAACATCCCCGCTCTGCTTCTAGGTCTGAGGAGATAATAGAGCCTGTGAAGGCGGCAGTGACAGCGGTCCCTGAGTTCTGACGTGCTGAGAAACTGTTCTCTCTTCATACCTCATTTACCAAGAACAGAGGCAAGGCTCCCAGGAGCCCAGAGCTCCCCAAATCGCCCCTGAGCTGCTGAAAGGAAGGGCCTGAGGCCTGGGGCTGACTCTGGGGGCCCGCACGCTGCCAGCCAAGGGCAAGTTCTCCAAGGACAGGCTCACGTCCTCCTCTGCGCCACAAACTAAAAATGTCCACAGAGCGGGTGCTGGCCCAGAGAATTGTGACACATCGCACAATGGAAAATTACACAGCTGTTAAAATAATGCCGCCATTATGTATCCTCTGGTTTGCAACCCTCTCTCAATTACGTTGTTTGCTGAAGAAGCAAGTGCAAAACAGTGTACATGGTGCTTTTGAAAAAGGATGTATTTAAGCCTGTATGTGTCCTAAGTCTTTCTGGAAGGATACAGAGATGTGGGCATTGGGGGTGCCTTAGGGGAGGGGAATTGAGGGAGCAGCGGTCATGAATCTGTAAGACTTAGTTTTCACTGTCAACTCTAGTGACACCTGAATTTTTGCCATTTACATGTATTTCTGACTCAGCACTGAGTCCCTTAAATCACTTATGGCTCTCAAGTCTGCACACAAAGTTTGGAGAAGCAGGCATCGAATAGAATACCCCAGAATCGGTGCCTACTGGGGAGGGGAGATGGGGACCAGAGATGGAGGAGGAAAGGCACACAAATTTAAATAAAAATTTTTCAAAATTCTTAAATGATTGATACTTATAAATAATGAGTGACAGATCTTTTAAATATATTTTAAAGTAAAACTGAAAAGCAGGTCACCTAAGAGTATATATAATATAATCCTGCTTTAATTTTTTACCATCATTTTCTTATAAAAAATTTCAAAGATAATCAAGTGAACACTCATGCATGCACCACCTGGATTCTATCATTAATGTTTCCTTATACTTGCTTTATTACATTTCTATCCATTCTTCCATCCATTAATCTATTTTAATTTTTTAATGCATTTCAAAGCAAACACAGGCCTAATTTTTTTAATGTATATGTGTATGGAGCCCCTGCGTTTTTTTGTGTGTAGAATCTGGCAGCTTTCCACTGGTGCCCTGCCCAGCCCCCCTTTAGTAAGATGGTGCAGCCATCGTATGGCTGCTGGGAGGTTGGCTGCTAACAGCTCACAGTTGCCCCCCTTTTCTGGAGAGTTGCCCACTGCTGATGGAGCCACCTTGCCTATGAGGTTACCTGCAGCCTTCAGCCAATAACTGAATGTATGGGAGGCAGGGTTGGTGCAAACGTCCAGTCTCTTTGCCTTAAGGAGGAACAAATCCAAGACAGGATTTATGCTCCAGAGGCGCCCCCCCTGCACCCTCCACCTGGGATCCGATCAAAGTTAGACGTGACTTGATGCCACATCCCTGCTCAGGTCCTTCCCCTTCTCCATACTGACTCACCCCGTCACTTACAGGTCTCCGCTGGGAGCATACCCTCAATAAACCACAAGCACCTGAACCCCTGCCTCAAGCTCTGCTTCTAGGAAACCTGGCCTGAGATAACATGGACAGGTGTACTTGAGTAGGTACACACATCAAATATCATGTGACAGCTTATATCATACAGTCTTAGCTCTAGATGCTGAGGTTATGGGAGATACTTTGAAAATTATTTGTCTTCTCATTTATCTACAATAAGCTTGCATGATTAGTGTATCAAGATCAAGTTTTGAAAAAGGGCGTTTCCGCTCCCTGCCTTCCTCCAAGTGTACTCTTGGGGAGTGGCCTCCTTCCTGGCTATTCTTCTCTAGGTGAGTTTTTAACTCCCCTTTCCTGAGTGTGAGAAGCTCTAAGAAGCTAAGCGGTGGCCAGAAGCATCACAGGAAGGGCTTTTAGGACCAGTCAACAGCCATTCAGGAGGAGCTCCAAGCAGGCTGGGGACCCTTAGAGAAGGTCCTAGGGCTCGGGGAAATGGACGGAATTGGCGTGTGTGTGTGTGTTGGGGGGGGGGTGTCTCAGAGCTGACCCTAGCTCAGATGGTGCCTTTGTGCTGACTGTAAAAGGCTGCCCCTCTGAGCAGCCAGGCGAGGGGGACACGGGCTGGACCAGCCCCCTCCCACGGGAGGTACTGGAGTCGGCTTCTGCCCCTGAGAGGTGGCTGAATCACAGCCCGGAGCCCAAGAGGAAAGGCAGGATTCAAGGGCCACAGCTACCCACTGGTCCCACCTCCCCAGGGAGAGACTGGTGAGTCTGTGCTCATGGAGTGATGCTGTGACTTTTTGACTTTTTAAAATATTGTCATAGAACAAACAAGTCTGTAACCTAGTCTTCATTCATGCAGCTGAACGCATGAATTTCTGACATTCCTGTCATATTCCTAATGGTTATTTTTTTCTTGGAAGCTGAAGGGTAGTACTTGTTCCCCTCTGCATGTGTGCCCCTGACAACACACTCCTGACGTCCACTTGGGAAGCTAAACAGAATGACTGAGAACGTGGGCTCTGGAGTTGGGCTTGCTGGCTTCACCTCCCAGCTCCACTTCTTACAAGCTGTGTAACTTTGGGCAAACTATTTACCCTCTCTGAGCCTCCATTCCCAGCAGCAGTGCTAATACTACTGGACTGCTGTGGGGGATTAATGAGACGATGCTCGTAAAGCACTCAACACAGTGCCTGGCATTAGGAAGAACTCAATAAATGAAGACATTGTCATCATCATGGACCAGCCTCACTTCCCTTCTCCACCCCAAATCATATGCTAAACTCTCAGGTTGTCTGCTGCATACATCCTGGGGTGGCCTTCAGGGGTCGCCCCATAAGCAGGTGGTAATGGTACAGAGAGCAGGGTACTGTCCTCCCCCAAGCAGGATCTTGGAGGTAAGCGCTCTGCACATGGCACAGTTGGACCCACCTGTGCTGAGCCAGGGACCTCCCTGACCTGGTCCCCTTGGGGCTGGGCAGCAGCCACACATAGGCAGCAGCCAGGAAGTAACCTTGGCTGGATTCACCAAGCAGGCTGAATAGGACTCAGTCTAGTTTCTCCAGGCACAGACTCGCCTCTCAGCTTCTGCATCCACATCTGTACCTGTCTGTACATCTTTGGGCCGATTACAATCTACTTTGAAGTGAGAAGCTTGAAGGATTAGGAAGGGGCAGGCTCCCACGACACTTCCATCCTTGACAACAGCGCCAGGTTCTTCTGAGGGTCTGCCTGTTCTGGATCTCAGCTCTGCTCTCCGCTTCCTTGGGTATCAGCCACCCACGCCCCAGCCCCCATCCGTCACCCTCATTTCGTCCGTACATCCTCAGGGCCCTGGCACATGGTGGGGCTTCAGATGCACTTGACATCAGGTAAATGGAGGAATGAAGGCATAAATGATTCAACATTGATGATGATGACGAAGATGACAGCTGTCATTTCTGAGGTTCTACCACGGGTCAGGCTTGTGCTAAGCGCTTTACTTGGAATATCTTAATTAACCCTTCCAACAGTTCTAGAAGGTGGGTGCCATGATCATCCCCATTTTACAGAGGGGGCTACCAAGGCTCAGAGAGGTCCATAGCCAGCCCAAGCGCAAACACCTAGTCTACGGCAGAGCTGGGATTTCAACCCAGATGTGTCTGACTGCAAACTCCATTCTCTGAGCCACGATGTTCTATATAGCGCCCCAAACTGCTGGCCAAAACTCTCGATGGCTCAGAGGAATGAGAATTGTATGGAGTTTCAGAAAGGATGTTATTCAGAAAGGATTGTATGGAGTTTCAGAAAGTCTTCAGGCAAGGTTGTTCTGTGGGAAGATGTAGACTGGGGAAAAGGAGGGCAGCTTAACGACAATAAAGCACTTCCCTCGGGACTGTCACTGTGCTATGCTTTATTTATTCATTACAGTCCTATTATGAGGTAGGTATCATTTCCATTTTCCAGAGGAGAAATCTGAGCTTCAGCCTGGTTAAGTGACATGTCCAGGGCCACATAGCAATTAAGCAGCAAACCCAGGATTTGAGCTGCAGCCTATTAGCTCCAGAGCCTGTAACTTACTGCTCCCCATTATAGCTAGGAATGGGAGGGAGAAGCGGGCACAGAGGGGAGGAGGCAGCCTTGACCTGAGACAGCTGCAATTGTGTAGCAACACACACACGCACACACTCCCTGTCTCCTTCCTCCAGAGCTGACAGCCTTTCTAAGAACCATGGGGCTCTACAGTCACCGATCACTCACAGTCTTCTCCATCGTACAGCTGGGGAGTTGGAGGCCTGGAGGGGGCAGGAACAGCCCAAGGCCACACAGTCGAGGACCAGGGTCCAATCAGGGTTATTCCCCACCAGCCCCCTTGCTGTCCCTTCTCTGATTCTGGCCCTGGAGCCTTGGGCTGCTGTTTGTGCAGCTCTGTTCCCTTCCCAGGCACAGGGAAGGGGAGGTGCCTTCTGGGTATAAATAGCAGATGGAGATGCTTCTCTCTAGCAGGAGAGTTAACCCTTGGGGCCCTGGGCACAGAGAGATGCTTCTCTCCCCAGGGAGAAGGCGCAGTGGCGGTCAGAGTTGGAATATTCCTTCGAGACCACCTAGACCTTGCTCCTCAAAGTGTGGTCTGTGAAGCAGCAGCCTTGGCATCGCCTCAGAGCATATTAGATATGCAAAGTCTCAGGCCCCACCCAGACCCACTGAGCCAGAATCTACCTGTTAGCAAGATGCCCAGGTAGTCCAGACAACCCTCTCCTTATGAAGATGGGGGAAAGTGGCTCAGAGAGGGTAGCGCTCCTACCCAAGGTCACACAGCCATTTCCCGACAGAACTATATCTAGAATCTGTGCTTCCTCCTCCCATGACTCAGAACCCTGACAGGCAGGGACACAACCCGCCATTTGTGCAGGGGTGGGGAAGGGGAGGTCAGGCAGTGGCATATTATTTCATGCCCATCCCCACCTGCTCTGGGCCCAGCCTCTCCATGCAGTCTGTGCTCATTCTACTCCTGGGGCAGAGGTCACTTCCCAGCTTGAGGGTCACTGTTCTAGGCAGGTGGGCAGGGCCACGGTGCCAGGCTGACTCAGCATAGGGGTGGGTTTGGGGAGTGGACTGCGCCGGTCAAGGCCAAGCTTGGCCTATTTTCGTCTCTCTCAGAGCTTTGGAGTTTTCCTGAAACAGCTTTTCTGAAGGAGGCTGCTGGCAGCGTGGGCTGGGAGGAAGGGCCCCTTCCTCACCTTCCCCCCAACCAAGCTGGTCTCTGAGGAATGTGGAAACCACTAAAGACACCCCCTTTCCCAGTTCTATTTCCACCATCCCTGGAGAAGAGAGCAGTTGCACCACCCCCCCAACACCCACCATGCAGGGAGGGGGAGCCGGCCTGGCCCCACCCCGCACCCTCACTCGTCCCCCGCGGCTCACCAATGTTGGGGTGCTTCAGCAGGCGGCAGATGCGGGCTTCGCGCTCCAGCTTCTGATGGTCTGAAACACAGATGCCCAGGTGAGTCCCAGGTGAGGCAGAAACCTGCACCCACTCCGTCGCTCCCTCCTCACAGCCCTCAGGATCTCACCTCCCGGGGCAGCCCCTGCATCCTGGAAAAGCTTGCCTTTCAGGCAGGGCCTCCTGGTCTTCCAGGAAGGCAGCGGGATGCAGCTGCAGAGGGAGAGGCCTGGGTGCAGTACTCAGAAGTCCCCTCCCCTCTCTGGGCCTCGGTTTCCAGGGCTCTCAGACAAGGAGCATCCATGAGCCCCTTCCTGTAATAAGCCCCAGGGGCCATGCAGCCTGGAGCCGCCCCCAGGCTGGCCTTTGCTGCCCTTCCTACAGCCCTGCCCTCACGCGGCACTCCAGCCACACTAACTACTGAATTTCTCTTCTCCTGGCACATCCTGCTCAGCCCTTCCACTTCAGGCCTTCGCACACATGGTTCTCTCAGCTTGGAACACTCCCCTTCAACCTCCCATCCATCTCCTGGCCATCATTCACTCCCACCCATCCTTAGATGTTGCCCTCTCCTGGCAGCCTGCCCTGACTGCCAGCCTGGTAGGGGCCCCTCCTCTGCCATCTCAGGGCCCCTGGTCAGCACGTTGCGCACTGCCTCATGGGTATCTCTAGCCTTGAGGGCAAGGACTCAGTCTCTGTTGCACCCTGCCATCTACCCAAATGCCTGGCACAGAGTGGGTGCTCAAGAAATAACTGAATGAAAGAACAAATGATCGAATGAACGAATCTGTCTAAGGGAGTGGAATTCCCTGCAGAAGAAGAGCTGCATTAATTCACAGAGCCACCTCCCTTGCAGAGGACTCCGGGACGAGGACACAGAGAGCCCCAAAGAATCTGCAGGGTAGAACTCGTATGTGGCAGCCTCTGGGCTTCCCCAGAGCTCTCATCCCTGCTTTCCAGGACTTTCGTCCAAATCCCCTGGATCCCCCACCCACTTGGGAGAGAAGCCTTGCTCAGGACCTGCCACCTGTGGCCTCTGCATCTGAGGCGGCTGGGAGCAACCATAGCTGTGACCCCATTCAGTCTTCCAGCAACCCTGGGCTATGGCCACCACTGTCCCTATTTTATGCATTTCTTAATTCCCTTTTTGGTGCTTTTCTCACAATTCGGTGCTTAATGCCTAATTTTAAAAACAAAACAGTAAAAAAAAAAAAAAAAAAGCAGCCAGTATGAAACGTAGAATATTCACTATGTTTCAGGTGGTGTGCAGAGCGCTTTCATACATTTCAAGGCCTCATGACAAGCCTTTGAGGGAGGTGCTATCACTGTTCTGGCTTTACAGAGGAGGAGACAGAGTTTCAGAGAGGTTAAGCAGCTGGCCCAAAGTCGTGCCAGTGGTGGGCAGTGGAGCCCCGCTTTGTCCCCAGGCGGCCAGACTCCAGGGGTTACAGTGTTCTCCACGCCCTGAGTCACCACCACCACCTCCACCTGCCCCCAATTCCTGAGTGGGAAAATCAAGGCCCACAGGAGAGAACTCACTAGAACCCCGGTCTCTGAATGGCCCCTCCAGAGCAGGCAGGCACCAGGGAGGGCGAGGAGGATGTAGAAAGTCCCAGCCCCTGTCCCCAGGCAGCCAGTTCGCCTTCCCCCGGCCCCCTCCATGACAGCAATCGCCGGTCATCCTCAATGGCTGCGCAAGCCAAGATCGATACTGAAATGTGGCTTTTCCATCAGCAAAGCAATTAAGGCCAATCCTGTTTCCGTGGGGTGTACGCTCAACTCCCCAGCTGAAGGCAGCTGCAGGTTAGGGGAAGGGAGCCCGGCTCAGGGTTGGGGGGCATCCTCCTGGGTCTCCCTCCCTCCCTGCCTCCTTCTATATCCTCCAGGGTAGGGGAAGGCTGACTCCCAGGCAAAGGAGGGGGAACCCCCCCAAGGGCTGGCGGAGGCCCTCAGTGGGCTGAGGAAGGCGGGACCCTCCCCAGGCTCCATGCCCTGTCCCCAACCCCACCCATCCCCAGCAGAGCCAGAAATCAGGCAGGTCAATGTGGGGCCTGTCAGAGGGGGCTGGGAGCCTTCTGGCCCAGGCTACACATTCATGCAGAGGGACCTAACCTAGAATTCTGGTGTTTTCCCCACGTGAGGTCACCTAGGAGCAGAGTTGCATGGACAGCATTGAAAGAAGGAAGCACTGGTCACCCAAGTTCGGATCTACACCTGGTTGCCAGACCTCATTGCTGGAAAGGTGAGGAATTAATCGTTTCTGTAAATCTCGCAATCGTCTTGTGTGAAGGACAATACATGGCATTGCAAATTTCAGTGCTAAAAGCGTTCAGTGTAAACATAGACGTTTTATACGATAATTTTTGTAACTCTCTTTGAAATGTTTCCATTTTCTAATATACAGGGAACCTCAAGAAATGTGGGGACCACATTGCTCTTGACTTCTGAGGCCTTGCTCCGTTATGTAGATGGGGAAACAGGCCCAGGGAGAAGGGAGCAGTCCCTTTATCAAAATTGCTCATCAGGTGGTCAAGTCTTCCTAGAACTCAGGGCCCTGAGGAACCACCCCGGATGCTCCCCCTGACCCCTGCCCTGACCAACAATGCTCGGCAGCCAAGGACCTCTTATTAAAATATAATTTAGCTCTGCCCGCTCCCTGGCTTCCAACTCTCCCACAGCTTCCCACCGTACTAAGATACAATCCAAACTCCTTGCCACGGGGAGCAAGACCCTGCTGGGTCCTGCTTCTTCTTGGCCTTGAAGCTCCAGCAGCATTGGCCCCCTTTCTGGCCTCAGGTGCATCAAGCCCCTTCTCACCTCAGGGCCTTTGCACTTGCTGCACCCTCTGCCTCAAACACACTTCTCCTGGGTCTTCTCATGGCTGCCTCCTTCTCCTCAAGCAGATGCCAGCACAATGTCACCTCCTCAGAGAGCTTCCCTGGCTGCCTTTACTGAGGGTCCCTCTTGCCCCATCACTTCCCCATTACCTTGTCTTATTTTCTTTATAACAGTCATTGCTACCTGAACTTACCCAGCTTATTTGTGTGTTTACTGTTCTTTTCAATTTCCCTCCCTAGAAAAGAGGTGCAGTGAGAGCAAGACCTTGTCTGTTGGTCACTTACATGTTCCTTGGGCCTAGAGTCACTCGAGCAGCTTCCCTAAGTTCCCGTAGCTAAGAAGTGACAGAGCTGGGATTTCAACCCATGTTCATAATTACTACACTATGTGCCTCCCTTCTGATAATTAGTTGATTGATAAATCAATCCTTCCATCTCAGTAGAGTCCCACAACAGTAAGAGGTCGGAGGGAAGCTAGTCTTCAGCCTTCTTCCCCGGGTACCTGGAAGACTGCCCCAGTGCCCGCTGTGATATCCTGTCAACCTTTTCCAGTCCTGGGGGCAGGCTCCAGGGTCTTGGGATTAAGGGAGCCAGCCCTGCCCAGAGCTCAGCAGACCGGGGGTGAGGTTCCTGGGGCCAGACAGTGCCAGCATGGTGCAGAGGGACAGAGCAGAGCACGGGAGAGTGAAACCAGGCAGCCTGGGGGGCTCTGCTTGCAGAGAGGGTGGGCTCCAGCAGGCAGGCGGGCAGCGGGATGCTGGCTGGAGACACTGGAACCAGGGGAGAAAAGAGATCTCTGTCCTGGAACAGGAAATGCCCCCTCCCTCTACAGGGCCTCGATCAGGCTCCTGGGAGGTGGAGAAATAATCTCGAGGACCAAGAGTGCCGGGCGGGGTGGGGAGGAAGATGAGAAAGACGGGGAAGAGGTGCCTCATTGCCTCCTCACAGGCTCCCTCATGTGGACCAGAAGCTCAGGGGCAGCCTGAATGAGCCCACACCATGGGGACTGGTCGCCAGAGAGCGGAGGAAGTGACCCCCTGGCGCTGGGGTGGACAGTAGGGCCTGTGGAGGGGGGCCGTAAATGAGCCAAGCCCCTCTGGCTGCACCAGCCTCATCCACAGGCCCAGTGCCCAGCATGCCCTACAATGCTAATGAATTCTCTCTCTCTTTTTTTTTTTTTTTTTTGAGGAAGATTGGTCCTGAGCTAACATCCACGCCCATCTTCCTCTACTTTATACATGGGACGCCTGCCACAGCATGGCATGATAAGCGTAGGTCCACACCTGGGATCCGAACCAGCGAACCCCGGGCTGCCAAAGCGGAGCGTGGGAACTTAACCCCTGTACCACTGGGCCGGCCCGTAATGGATTCTTTCTGTGGGCTCTGGGAGGCTAGGCTGGGAAGCAAGCAGAGCCAGTGGGGACTTAGCATTGAGCCGTACTGCCATGCTCCCTGCTGACAGGAGTGTTTAAATGCAGGAGCTTGGGCCTCACCTGCTGAATCCCACCCTCAGGGGTGGCACTGAGCTGCATTTTTCTAAGGGTCCCTAGAGGATTTGGCAGGAATTGGGATGGGCGAAATGTTTACATTTCATTTCATGTCTTTATGGCTTTTTAGAACTGCTTATTCTATAAGCATATTATTGAAAAGACTAGTTTAACAATACATACAAAAAATATCTGCTGGGTTTGGGAACCACTCGACAGAAGAGGCTGGCCTGGGTGGGGAAGGGGAAGTCACAGCTCCCTGGGGGGCTGGACGGACACCCCGGGTGGGCACGGCCCCCCCGCCGGGAACTGCTGAAGTCACGAGGAGTGCCAGCAGGAGAAGTTTAGAGCGTGTTGCCAAATATTCAGCCTCACACCACTCCCCACCCCAGGCGCCATGAGCGGCAAAGAAACCCTAAACGAAGCTGTGCTCCTCCTCCCCCACTGCGGGGAGAGCGTGGGCGGTTGGCGGGCTTCTTTGAGAAGGTTCCCCTGAGGACCTCCTGGCCACCCTGCATACTCGCCTTGGCCTGGGCCACCTTCCTCCCAGGAGGTCAAAGGCTCAACAAATCGCCAAAGAGAGTGGGCTTGGCAGTTACTGCCTGGCACAGCCCAGAGTCTACACTGCCCAGGAATGCTTACTCATCTTCCAGAAAAGAGGCAACACCCCTTCCATTCTCTCCCATCCACATCTGTCTCTTTCTGTCAGTGTGTGTGTGTGTGTGTGTGTGCACGCGCGTGTGTGTAGATGTGGCTCTGAGAGTGTGGTGAACCAGCTCAAGATTTCCGGCATCCAGGGAGGACCTGATTCCTGACCCTCTCTCGTTTGGGGGCTATCCCACCTATCACCCCAAGTCGTAGTTCTAGTCCTGCCCCCACTGTATCTCAGGGATTGGGATATCTTCCTTGATCACTAGAGACATAAAGCACAGAGAGGGCACCAAACTGCCACTAGCCACACAGCTATGGCAAGGCCAGTCTGGCATCTGGACATGAGGCAGCAATCCTACCTGCCCTGGCTCCCCACCCCTGGCTCTGGCTCTGGACCTTCCACAGGCTTTGCCTGTCCACCCCAGCTTTCATGTTGACTGTGTGCCATCACGGGCTCTGGGCCTTCAGGAAAGCCCCCCATCCCCGGCCTCTCTCCCTGCGGGACACTGGCCTGACTACAGGGAGTCCAGTAACTAGGAGAAAGTGCTAGGCTTCAAGCCACACTGAGCCAGAGAGATGAAAGGCAGTAACATGCGGTCCAACAAGGGACCCATGTGGAGGCCTGTGGGGGACAGCATGAACATCCTGTACCAGCCTCGGTGAACCCCATACCTGCCAGGCCCCGGCCCAGACACAGCTGAGGCTTCTGCCAGGTCAACACCTGTGCACCATACCAGCCCCTCACACCACATCTCCCAGGCTGCACAAGCCATGGGCTGCACAACCCGCACGGACACCTGCCTCACCCAGTGGAATTCCCTCCACCCCAGGGGGTCCCCAACACAGCTTAGACATGGTTCAGAGCGGCGATTGAATCTTTGAAGATAATTCTCCCCAACACTCTCGCCATGGTCACCACCATTACTGCCCTAACCACAGGCTAAGGGCAAGAAGCAAGCTCCTGGGCAGGCTTCCCAAGTTTTAATGTCCACATGAACCACCCGGGCGTCTTGTTAAAATACAGATTCTGATTCCTTAAGTCTGGAATCAAGAATTTGCATTTCTAACAACCTTCTGGTGATGCTGATGCTGTTGTTCTAGGACCACTTTCAAATTAGAATTAACCTGGGATCTTTTCTAAAACCCAAGTCATGCCCCAGACAAACTAAATCATAACTTCTGGGGTCGGGACCCAGGCGTCAGGAGTGTTTGAAACTCTCCAGGGGATTCCAGTGTGAGGACAGGTTTGGGAGGCACTGTCCTGGAGTGGTTGAAGCAGAGTGCCCTGGAGCTCACTGGGCACTGGCGGAGCCCCGCGGATGTTGGGCGCTGTCCTAGGTGCTGGGCACACGCAGGGCATGGGACCCATCCCCACCCTCTTGGAGCTTTTAGTGAAGAGAGAAAATGGATGATAAACAAGGAGTCTAGTCAGTAAATGGGATAAGTCTAGGTTGGGGAAAAGCCACAAAGAAAGTAAACAGTAATGAGAGAGATAAAATCTGGGAGACTGCCTCAAATTTGGGGGTCAGGGAAGCCCCTCAAAGGATGTGACATTGACCAAGGGGACAGACCCAGGCCTTGGTTCTAACCCAAGGGGTAGAGGGTGGAGTGAAGGCAGGGAGAGCCCCAGAGGGTGGGCCAAGCGTGGATCCACCACCTACCTCTGGCTGAAAGCTTCTTGGTGTTGATGATCTTGGCAGCATACTCCTGGCCAGCCAGCACCTTCACACACCTGCGCACCACTGAGAAGGCTCCCCTAGGAGGACAGAGAAGGCAAAGGAGGTGAGGAGGGGCCAAGGGCTGCATCCCCAGGAGACGCTGGCGTCCATGCAGCTGCACCATGCTAGCTGGGAGCCCTCCTCCAGGGCTGCTTGAGCTCATAGGGGCTGCTGTGACCCGAGCCAGAGAAGAGCAGGGCCCAAGACCCAGAGGACCACAGGTACTGGATTATTAGGAGCTTGGCCACACAAGAGATGAGATTTCCAGAGTTGTAATAAGTTAGCTCACCAAATTGAAAAACATTAGAATCATGTAGTGTTAGAATTGCAGAATTGAGGTCCCTGAAAGTTTTTAGTTGTTTATTCTTTGAGTAGATAACACATTGACATGGTTCAAAGTTCAAAAGATACAAAAGTGTGGATAGCAAAAAGACCCCCCTCCCATCCCTGTACCCCTATCTCCGAGGTCCCCTCCCTAAAGACAGCCAGTGTCACCAGAGCATCTTTCCACAGGCAGTATCCCCACACAAATGGTGCTGGACTTTGTGAGCTGTTCTGCATCCTCCTTTTTTTGGCAAATATTTTGGAGATCCTCTTTCCATGTTATAACACAAAGAGCTGCTCATTTTATGGCATTTGATCATACAGCTGTGGTCCGATAACTTACCTAGCCAGTCCCCTATCAGTGGGCAATCAGGTTAGTTCCAATCTACAGCAATTACAAACAGTGCTGCACGGACTAACCATCTACGTGTGCATGAGAATTACGTTTCCCATGCATGCAAGTGTCTGTGGATAAACGCCTAGAGCTGGTGTATTTGGTCATAGGGTGGATGTTGTTTGCTAATTTTGATAGATGATAAGGGATTTTCCATCTTAGAGATGGTACCAACTTACTTTCCCAACAGCATGAGAGGGGACCATTTCCTCTGCCATTGTCAACACGATGTGTTACCAAACTTTCTTATCTTTGCTACTGAGATAGGTGGAACATGGCAACTCGGGATAGATTTGAGTTGTGTTTCTCACACTGAGAGGGAGACTGAGCATCTTTTCACATGTTTTAAGAGGTTCCTGGGACTTTACCCTCAAAGTATTCGTGATTGGAAGAGAAGTGGGAGTGAGGGCTGTGAGTATCACTGTTTGCAAGGGATGCCATGTGGAATGTGGCCCATTTCCCGGATTATTTGATTTTTCAAGAAAAGCCGAAAATCTGGATATTTATGCGAAATTTCCCAACTTTTAAATACTGGCACTTATTCCAAAAAAAGTAAACAGAGTATCGGGCCCAACAAAACTATTTTGAGAACCAGATGTGGTATCTGGGTGCCATGTTGTACCTTCTACCACAAAGGTCATCTGGTCCAACCCCTTCCTATCACAGAGGAGGCCCCTAAGGGGCCGGATGCTGACCACGGTCACTACCAGTACTGCCCTAACCATAGGCTAATGGCAAGAAGCAAGTCTGCGGGGTAGGCTTCCCTAATTTTGAGATCCATGCGAATCACTCTGGTGTCTTGTTAAGACGCAGATTCTGATTCCTTAAGGCTAGAGTGGGGCTCCAGACTTGGAGCGTTGGTGTAGCTCAGTGTAGACTGCTCAAGGTCACGTGGCTAGTTCCAGGCATTGCTGAGGCTAGAACTCAAATATTTCACTCCCAGATTTCTGGCTTCTCCCCGACCAAGTGAATCTGCCACCTCCTGGCCTGCACGTCCAGGTTCCTGACGTGGCCTCACCCCATCACACCCTCCAAACTCTGATGTCCCCTCCTAAGTGCATGGGCAGGTCCAGGCCACAAAGATGAGGCTGATGGGAGCAGGGAAGGACCTGGCAGGCAGTGAGGAAGCCTGCAGACGGGCACAGCTGCCCGCAATGCACATGCCCCTGGACATTGTCACGGGCTCCGTGTCTGGGCAATATGAAGAGAGGGGTAGGGAACTGTGTGGAAGGATGAGGAAGAAGGATCTGGGAGGGGGGCTAGAGACCAGGAAATATGACCTCTTAGGAAAGCCAGAGAAGGCCAGAATTCATGACAAATGGATGGTCTCGCAAAGCAACGGACCCTCCCTGGGCTGTGCAGCCCCTGCCTGTCCTTCCCCTGGAGGAAAGCAGCGGGAGCCTGGCCACCTTCCCTGAGGAGCCTTGCCGCCAGGGGGTCCTTTGTTTGTGCCCCCAGAGTACCCTGCAGTCCCTCCCCATCGAGCCCAGGCTGTAGTTGCTTGGCCGTTTGTCTTGCCCACCCAGCAATGAGTTCCTGAGGGCCAGGACTTTATTTCTGTCCCCACACCCCCATGCCAGGTACCCAATGCCTGCTCCCCTGCGGGCCTCCATAGATGTCACCTGCAGGAACAGGAAGTGATGCCAGCAACAGCGAGAGGGACTGGAATGAGACAGGGGAGAGGATGTTCAGGGAGGGGTGTTAGGAACAGGAAGAGGCATCTGAGGAAGGGGGCGTGATGGTCTCTTGAAGCACTCCCACCCTACCCTGGCAGGGGATGGACCCCAAGACCTTCATGTCCCTGCCCTGAGGGAGGCCTCGATCCTCAAAGGCCCCAGGGGAGAGAATGTTTGAAGTGGCCGCTTCTGGGAAAGGTTCCAAGAACTCCGGGGAGAGGAGGGGCACGCAGGTCCTGAATGCAGGGGCTGCGTCTTGTCTCACTTACCAGCAGCTAGCCCCTGCTTGGTCCTGAGCTGGAGCTCAATTAATCAGAGGTGGATGGCGGGAGGGAGGGATGCAATTTCTCCACTAGAGAAACAAAATTCCATTCTGGGTAAAGACCTTAAATCAATGGTCATCAAATTGGCTGCCTTAGAATCCTCAAGATCCTTGGGGATCATTTAAAAATACATATTCCAAGGCCCCGCCCGACCTACCAAGCCAGAACCACTGGGTATGGGCCAAGGAAATCCGTATTTTCATTTAACACACGGTCCCAGCCTGCTCGGCACTGCCCTGCCCGTGTTCCAGGGAAGTCCTGTAGAGCCCGGCCTCCTGGAAGTCAGCACTGATGAGGCCGTCCCACGGGGCTCTGTGCATCAGGCTCCACAGGCCCCGTGAGCCCGGGCTCTGCCCAGGACCCGAGGACCTAAGAGCCACGCCTGTAAACAAGAGAAGGCACACTCGCTGAACTTCCTCCTCAGAACAAAGCGCCAAGCTTTTGTGTAAATACCAGGGTCTAAGTAGGGGGCCAGGATGTGGGGGGTGCGGCCGTAGGGGTCCTGTGCTCCCCAAGGACATCCTGTGCCTCTGAGTGTGGGTATGTGCATTTTTTTCTGCGGCAAGGATGCATAGCTTTTAGCACATGCTCAGAGAGAGGAGTTTGTACAAACCAGTTTAGAGCTGCTGATCCAGAGGCCACCAGCCTCTCACATACCCAGAAGACGTCCTCCCTTTAAAAGCACATTCCCCATTAAGCTTCTTCTTGACCCTCATTGCAACTATGTGAAGTGGGCATTATGAGCCCCCACTGAACAGACCAGGAAACTGAGGCCTCAAGTGAGCAGGCATATTCCTGGTGAGGCCGTGAAGAAATCCAGGTCACCTGCACTTGTTCTTCTGACTCCTTCAAAGGCAGGAGAGTGTGACCCTCAAGAGCAGGGGCTCTGGGCTCACAAAGCCCTGTGGTCCGATCATGACTCGCCCCCAACTCACTGTGTGATATTGAACTTGGCACTTCACCTCTCTGTTTCCTCCTGCAAAATGGCGGCAATAATAGCATCTACCTTCTGGGTGTTGGGGAGATTCAGCGAGCTGACACGTGCAAACACTGAGCACAGTGCCAGGCACATAGAGCATCAAATGGGGCGAGGGCAGGGCCAGGGCCAGGGAACCCCTCTTTCCACCTATGCAGCCTCAGGTCTCCATCCACACGTGGGAGGGCTCACCCCTGCCTGCCATGGTGCTGGGATCAGGGAGATGAGGGGCAGAGGAGACGCTGCAGCAAAAATAAGAGTAGGGGCAGCGAGCCTGCAGCCCTAACTTCCTCTTTTTATCCTTTGTTTAAAAAAGGCATATTTCTGCACTCTCTTCCTGCATGAGCGAGTGGCCACAGCCCAGAGCCTTGGCAAACAGAAGAGCCAGCCCACTCCTCCCACGGCCCGGAGCAGAGCAGGTGGCCGGCAGGTGGGTGGGCAGGAACTTGGAACAGGACAGGGTGGGAGAGGGGAGGAGGCCAAGGTGGGGAGGGTAGGTGGGAGGGTGTGACCAGGGGTCCCAAGGGGAAGGGAGGAGGCCTGCATGTGAGGGCCCTGTGTGACGAGGGATGTCCCCAGGCGGGTCCTGGGGGTGCCTGTGAAAGTGTTCCTGGGTGCAAAGGGGTCGAGGGGGCACGTCTGCCCAGAAGTGTGTGTCGGCAGCCCCGTCACTGTCCTAGTGTACGTGATGCCATGAGGCTCTGGCTGTCACAAAGCATACTATGTCACCCTGGATGCAGAGTGTGCTCATGTGAGTGAGAAGGTCACAGAATGCGGGCAGGGAGGAGCGTGTGTGAGACAGACAGACACTGAAGGGATGGACTCTCAGCCCTCAGCCCTGCTGGAAGTTCTCGAGCAGGGGTCTGCCCCAACGTGGGCAGTTTCTTTATCCGCAACAGGGAGGTTGGGGCAGGGATGAGGATAAATAGCACAAAGGCCCTCCCACCTTTAATATTCTACACCGGCACTGTCCAACAGAACTTTCCGTGATGGTGGAAATATTCTGTGTTGTCCAATGTGGCAGCCACTAGCCCCAGATGGCTAAGGAACGCTTGAAATGTGGCTGGTGTGACTGAAGAACGGGATTTCTTATTTCCTTTCATTTAAATAGCTATCTGTGGCTAGTGATCACCATATGGGACAGTGAAGTTCCACGTGAATAAGAACAGCAGCTCCTGAACCAGACCAACCAGAGTTCAAACCGTGGTGCAGTCCCTTACTAGCAGGTTAACCTCAGGCAGCCTGTTTCTTCACCTGTAAAAGGCAGATGAGAATAGTACCCACCCTGTGCACTTGTTTCAAGCCTTCAGTGTTAGATTCAAGTTAATGAGGTATGCAAAGGGTT